GCATCCAACACTGCGTGTGACCAATTTCGGAGATTTGGAGATGTAGAGCACAGGCTAGTTCTCCCATTGAAGGCTGGCCAGCCTTACTAGCACTGGGCTGTTGAGTGGGACCTTGAACTTAATCCAGTGACAAGAGGCAGATCACAGGTCTGATTCAGGGATGGATGAGATCTGTCCTCTTCAGGCAGACTGACAGCTGTTATCAAGTGGGTAGCTGCCCCGTTCTTCAGAACCTGCTTCTCCCTGCATAGATCCCTCATGTCAGGTCCAAGACTGAGCTCAGTCTTACTCAGGATGTTACCAGAAATTCAGTATTAGTCACTGAATTTCAAGTTTCATTGCCTTCACCAGGCAGGTCCATTTAATGAAGACGGTGTCCAAACACAAGTATGGTTCCTTTCCTTCAGGAACTCACAGAAATTAAACGAGAACCATCAGAGGACCAGATGTGAGGTTGGTCTTTGAAAGTGAACATTGATTTGCCAGCATAAAAAAATAAAAATAAAAAAAGTGCTGAAAGCCAGGCACCAGAGGCTCACGCCTGTAATCCTAACTACTCAGGAGACTGAGATCTGAGGACTGCAGTTCAAAGACAGCCTGAACACGAAAGTCCGCGTGATTCTTATCGTCAATAAACTACTCAGAAAAAGTTGGAAGTGGCACTGTGGTTCAAGTGGTAGCATGCCAGCCTTGAGCATAGAGAGGCTCAGGGGCAGAGCCCAGACCCTGAGTTCAAGCCCCAGGACTGGCAAAAACAAAAGGAAAAAAGCCAAACCAAAACAAAAACGCAGTGGTGACTCAAACGGATAGGGAAACAATTTGGGATTAAGGAAACATAGAGGCCAGACATCATGGCTATTCTAGAAGCACAAGTTTGCCATGGCCAAACAGGGTGAAGGGGGAGATTCAATGGGAAATGAAAGGGACGAGGCTGACAAAGCCACACGGATCAGGGTTCTATAGGGGAGAGGTTCAGGATCCAAGTGAGACACCTGGACACTGTGTATAGAATTCAACACCGTGCTGGGAGATGGAGATGGAGCCCCTGGGGAGGGGAGGCGCATTTGAGGGATGGAGCTGGCAGGGCTTGCTGATCAATGTGTCGTGGTATTGGGGAAGAGTCTAGAATGATTCCCAGATTGCCCTTTTGGGAGGGTAGAACCATTAACCAGGTAGGCACCCACTAACAAGGCAATGGGGTGTCAAGGATCCTGGGCAGGAATGGAAACATACTGTGACAACCCAGACACCAGCTGTCTCTTAGAATCTGGATCACGGTGGCAGGAGCTCACATTTCTTGACCAGTGAAGGCCTTGTGAGCTCCCCACGACACCTGGATTTCTGTGATTTCTAGATAAGAGCTTCAGACTTCAAACTTCTGCTTCTAGTGAATGAGTTCCATTTATGGCTGGGTATGCACACCCTGCCAGACAGAGCAGCTGCACACGTCCATGCTGGCTAGCGAGGCTCTTGGCTGTTTGAGGAGTGACCTGGCTCATGCCTGGTCACTTGTGCATCGGGACAGCTGTTATATAAGACTTAGGGGAGCGGGAGTCGGGGGAGGTCAACCTCACAGCAGTGCAAAGCATTAGATTAGCAATGAAGATCTTTGTGATGCCGAGGCTGGCCATTTTTCATGGGGCTCTTCCCCCTCCCCCACTAACCACGTGGTTCTGCCTTCTTTCACCATCTTGATGATACAGGCTGCCCCTCACCCCCAATTATTTCAGGAAGTTCCAAATCCTTCTTTCTCTCAAGTCCTGCAAGCACTCTCTTGAAACTCTTTTGAGGTCTGCTTCATCTCCTCTTTCATGTTCTAGCTCCATCCAGTTCCTGGTTGAGTGAAACGCCTATCCATAGCAACATCTTCTAGGCTTAAAGGTAACTTCGTCTGAAATAGCATTTGATCCCAACAGGATGTCTTAGGAAGAAGTGCAAGTATTTCCTCCCACTATGCACACCTCTCCCCCAGCACCGTGCTGCTGCAGCTTCCCCGGTGGTTAAGTCTGCCAGCTGATGGTGCGGGCAATTTGGTCTGTGGTGGCTGCTGCTTGTTTGTGCCCTGGCCTCACCCCCATGGTCATCCGCTTTTGGCTTGTTCATTCTTGTTCTTTAATCTCCCCTGGTGGTGCTTCCTCCCCAGAAAGGTGGCTGGAACGAGGGCTGCAGGCAAGGGGCGCACAGGAGGCCTTGCTTACATACACAGTGCTTTGTCCACAGCTCTTCTTAGAATCAGTGTTAAGGACCATTTTTCTTTTTCTTTCCTTCCTCTTGCTCTCTCTTCTTTCTCTTTCTGTCTTTTGTCCAAGATTGAGATTCAAACTCAGTCCCTGATGCTTTCATTCATTGGCTGGCGCTCTACCAACTGAACCATGCCTCCAGCCTCAACCACCTCGTCTTAACTGCCAGCACCAGCCAGTCATCCTAGCGTCTGCAGTCCTTAGGACTGTCAGGCAGACGTGTAAACTTTCAAGTTCACCCTGGGATGTCAGCACAGCTGCTGAAGTGGGAAGGTTCCAGCCTCAGAACACTAGGAACCGAAAGGGGGTCCTGCCATGGGTTGGGAGGTGGGGGGTTTCCCCCGGGACTGAGTCCCTGGAACTGTCCACTCACCCAAGAGACAGACAGCAGCTAAGGTACTCAGAAAGGAGAAATTCTCCAGTCTCCACTAAGCGCACAGGCCTGCAGAAAATGACAACAGACCCAGGACGGCACAGTGTGCCAAGAGCTCCACCTAGGGATGTGGAAGAGACAGCCTGGCTGGAGCAGCAGGTGTCTGTCTATGTGGAGGTAGAGGCTGGAGCAGTCAGACATACTGTGATCTCAGACTTCGCCCTGAGGCCAACAGGGCGCTATTAGTGGGAACAGCAGGGTTTGGGTTTCTCTGCTAGAGCGCAGGCTGGCAGCAGAGTGGCTGGACCACAGGGGCAGAGTCCTGGTTCTACTGCAGGCTCAGATGGTATAAATGTTGTCATAGTGGGAGGAGCCTCTCTTAAAGCCCTGATCCTGGTGGTGGGTATCTGGGTGGTGGGTATCTGGGTGGTGGGTATCTGGGTGGTGGGTATCTGGGTGGTGGGTTGGGCATGGGAAGCGGCCCAGGATGCCACCGTGTTAACAGTGAGCTGGGCTGAGACCCGAGTGCCATTCGGATGGCTGCCAGGTGCCACCTGCTACCCTTGCGCAGCTCAGTCTCTGCAGGGCAGCACCAGTCGGGTGGACAGAGGGACGGGACTTGTGCTTGGCGCAGGTGGATGGATGGTCAGGCACCTTGTGACTCACCTGCTATTTCTCCCTCGGAACTCCCGGTTATAGAGCTGCGAGAGGCAACAGGGCAGTTAATTAGAGGCAGAGAAACAGGAAGTGAGTTGAAGGAAAATAAACTCTTTGACTAGACCAGTTTGATCGGATTAAGGAAGTGTATTGGATTTCCAATACTAAATAAATACATGAAACCGTCTTTCTTTCTTTCGTGTTTTTTTTTTTTTTTAAAAAGCCATAGAGTTTACAGCATCAACTACAGTAAAGGCCAAACAGGTGTGTACAGAGCCCAGCCCAGCCGTCCTCCGGGCCCTCCCGCAAGCTGGGGGCAGGGCTGCGCCTGCCCGCACCCCCCCCCATGCCCACGCCCGGAGCTGCCGGGCAGTTCAGCTAGGACACAAAGACGCACAATGGCTTAGTTTCAAAAATCACAGAAAAATGTTAAGAAAATGTATTAAATTGTGAAAAGGTGCAATACAGAATATTTTTCTTTTTATTATTTAAAAAAAAAAATCCCAACCTTGAAGTTACTTTAAAAATAGGTCCCTCCCCTCCCCCACCCCAATTCTGTGGCAGTATCCAGGTACCAAAGCCCTGAGGTAATGAAAGTATAGGGGTTCATGGGAGGGAATGCCCTCAATATTGAGCATGTTCTTTGGGCAAGAGAGATGATTTCTGGGCAAGGTGGCTCTCCTGGTGGCTGGAGTGCTCTCTTCAAACTATATGCCAGCAGGAATTCCAGCACTGAAGTTTTGATTACCTCCCCCCCCCCGCCCCCAAACAAAACAAAACATCATAAACACAGAGAGCTCATCCTGGAGAAAAGCAAGCATGTGGTAAGGCCTAAAGAGGGTGCAATGACCCTGTTTGCCTCCTGTGGGCACCCACGGTGGTCTGGGCAGTCTATTCGCTATAGAACCCACGCCTGACTGTCTTTGGGGGTCTTGTGTTTTCATCACATAGTCTTGATATTACAAAAGACAAACACACGCCTCAGCTTACCTTTGTAAGAAAATGACCCCCAGCGCTCTGCAAAGGTGGAGCCCTTAGTGTACCTTTGATCTCCTGGGGCCTCTTCCTCTCAGGGGTGGGAGGAGGAGTCTGTTGAGCTGTGGGGGTGGCGGGCAGGCGCCTCTGCTTGCCCTCTCTGCTGACCCTGTCCTCTGTTACTTGAAGAACTGTGTTCAGAAAGACACGGGTAAACCTCTTGGGCACCACAGCCTGTGCTTTAACAGAAGAGGCTCCGTAAATGGCAGTGACCGCTGGCCTGAGGACAGGCCCAGAGAGGCCAGAGTCCTCCTCCTCCACCACCAGCCTCCTTCAGAGAAGCCTCCAGCAGCAGGCAAGGGTCCCCACCCTGTGCTCTCTGCCTTGGGGGGACAGTGTCAGGACCTTGCTCTACTGAGCATCCATCACTCCTGCAACCAGAGCAATATGGGGGCTCAGCATGGACATTCCCGAGGCATGGGGCCGGCTAACTCCTCAGACACACCTATTGCACAGAAGGACTTTTAACCAGATCCAAATCAAACTCCAGTAGCAATGTAGTGACAGTGAGATGGACATGCCAGGAAAGGGCAGTAAAGAAGACACTTCCATTCTCTGCAGGCTTCTGGAAGAAAGCACATGACGGAAACATTCACAGAACCTTAGCAGCCCCTCCACTTCCTATCCCCAACCCCAACCCCCACCCCAATACTGAATCTGCACAGAAAGCAATAGACAAGTCTTTCAATGTTACATTTCATTCAAATAGATCTGTAATCTCACAGTGATGAGAGGAGAGTGTCAGGTCTTTAATAATTATAATAAAAAATAATAAAAAAAAAAGCTTACAAACAGCAATGCAACATTTCCTCTCCCTCAAAGTGATGGGTTAACTAACAGCTGGCAGAGGATGCAATGTCTCAGAATTAAAAAATAAAGACAAAACCAAAAACAAGCCTACCCCCACATAACAACCAGTTCACTCTGTCCGCGACTTTCCACACGTCACTGGGACAAGCAGTCACATGCCAGCCCCCGGTGGAGAACATCACGGACCGCCTTGGGTTTTGATAGTGTTTTGTTTTTGTTTTTTTTAAGGTAAAATAAAATAGGACAGAAATAAAATTGTACATAAATCGCAATGTCTACACTCCATAAACGTGATGCAGATGCAGCACGAAGACACAGCCTGGCCACCGTGAAATGCAGGTTGCACTTCCCGCCTCCTCCCTGGACACAAAATTTTGGCCCGTGGTGCCCAGTCCCGCAGGGTATCAGCAGGGAAAGGGAAGCTGCCTCGACTCCCGTGTGGTCCAGGCTGATCAGAAGGCCGGTGGCTGTGCCTGGAGCCAGCCGCAGCGGAGGCGCTGGCTGGTCTGCTGGCTCACTGTGCTCTCAAGTGCGTCCTTCGTACTCTGTACAATTCCTTGTTTGCAAGGCTAAGTTCCAAGACTTCCAGACTCAGGCTTGGAGTCATGTCCCCATGAAGGCCATCATGCTGTCGTGATGGCATTTAGGTCCTTCATCAGTCCTTCCAGGTGGGCCATCTCTTTGGTCAGCTCATCTGGTTCGTAGCTCTACGGAAAGGAGAATGCAGTTAACTAAGCATGAGCCACGGGGCTGTCTAGGTAGGAGAGCCCACACAGAGAGGTCAGAGCATCAGGGCCAGTGATAAAACTGCCCCCGAAGGCTAGCCTGCCCACACGTAAGCTGGCTAAGAAGAGTCAGAGTACAAAGAGCCACCCAAGGCCACCAAGAGGTATTTTCTTTTTCTGTCTTTTTTTCTTTTTTTTGTTGGTTGTTGGGTTTGATCTCCCAGGGCCTGGGCGCTGTCCCTGAGCTCTTCAGCTCAAGGCGAGCGCTCTACCACTTAAGCCATAGTGCCACTTCTGGTTTTCTGGTGGTTTATTGGAGCTAAGAGTCTCACAGACTTTCCTGTCCGGGCTGGCTTTGAACCGTGGTCCTCAGATCTCAGCCTCCTGAGTAGCTAAGATTACAGGCAGGAGCCACCAGCACCTGGCCAAGAGGTCATTTCCTGACACTGGTACCTTAAGAAAGCAGACATATTCCTCATCTGAAGGAGAGGCTCACTGTATGCCTGTTGAAAGAGTGAATGAGTCTGCTTCGTGCCTCTAGGTGGTGCCCAATGTGAGCTTGACCAGCACACAGAGAGACCATAGGATGTATGCCCATACATCCTGGCAGGGCTGATGGCCATGAACTTACACTCTCGGAGTCTTCTAGCATCCTCGTGGTCTCCTGTACTTCAGGGGCACTGGGAACAACCACTGGCATAGGAGGCCGGCTCCTTCCTAAAGTCCCAATGGAAGCCGTCTTCACTGAGTGAATATGATGGTTCAGAGCTGAGGGGGAAAGGGCACTGTCAGATTGTGGCTGGGGCCGCAGCCCCAAAGCTCGTGCAGCCATCTTCCTCTGAAAACTTCTTAGGGCAAGAGAGGAAGAGGGAGGCAGTGGCAAATTCGAAAGGGACAGAGACAATATCCTACTGGCCTCAGAAACTCATTTCTCAAAGTGTGGTGGTTCAGAATAGCCGGAAGGTCAACTCTCTGCATAATGCCAGTTAGACATTTTTTGTCTTTTCACCGCTGGCCTTGCACTGAGGGCACACAGGCAACAGTGAGACAAACTACCAGAGCCTTACCACAAACAAAGGCAGTGGCCAAACTAACCTTCTGCGGATATTCTGGTGCAGTTGAAAAACATGTTTTTCACTCGAGCTGAAGCAGTAGGAATGATGAATCTTGACCCAAAATGGAAAGAATGAAAAAAGTGCTCCTGTATCAAGCATGATACAGGCAGGACCCTAACGACAGGACAGCAGAATGAACAAAGCCGAGGTGCTGTGCTCACTCTGAAAACCACTGATAGTTCCAAGACAGACAAATGGGTCATTTAAGTGTCTTCTAGAAACAGAATACAATGAGCCTGGGAATGTTCAAGAAAATAGTGTTTGCTGCCACTGATAAAATTTGAGTTTTAAGTGGTAATTAGAGTAAAAAAAAAAGGTATCTGTCACCTGAGCTTGACAGATTTGTATTTTTTTTTTGCCATGTTGGGCATTAAGCCTAGGGCCTGGCATCTATTAGGCAGGTGCTCTACAACTGAGATACATTTGAAGCCCCTTAGTAAACGTGTTTTTAGGTACAAAATGATTACATGTAATGTGTGATGTTTTAATGTTATGCATTCAAAACGTATGAGTAGTTTACAAATACAGTTTGAGATGGCACACCGTAAACAAATCTTTATGAAACTATAGCTTTGTAAGTTTTACTAGCGTATAAAAAAAACTATAGGCAGTCTGGGTATGGCAATACATGCTTCGAATTCCTTACTCGGGAGACTGAGAAGTCAGGAGGAGTGTGTTTGAGGCCAGTTTGGCATCTATAGCAAAATCTATCTTTATTAAAAACAATAAAAATAAAAATAATATCTGTAAGTATCTGAAAGGTTATAAAAATACCTTTGCCAACTACCCATTTGTGAGGCCAGATTTTCTTCTTGTATTTCAACCAAAACAACATATTGCAACAGATTGAACACAGTAGATATGAGAGCCCAGCTGTCTTCTATTCAGCCAGACACTGAAGGAATGTAAGACAATGACATTGCTCTCACTAGGTTTTCAAAAAGTTATTTTCATTAAACCGTGCTACTTGCCTTAATATGATAGGATTCTTGCTATTATTCTAATGAATGGGTTAATGGAATACTTAAAGATGTTCTGGGTTTTAATTTTGAATGTGGTACATACAGATAAAATATAACCCTTCAGGGGCTGGGAAGGTGGCTCAGTGGTAGAGTGCTTGCCTTGCATGCATGAGGCCCTGGGTTCGATTCCTCAGCACCACATAAGCAAAAAGAAAAAAGCCGGAAGTGGCGCTGTGGCTCATAGTGGTAGAGCGCTAGCTTTGAGCTGAAGAGCTGAGGGACAGCGCCCAGGCCCAGAGTTCAAGCCCCACAACCGGACCCCCCCCCCAAAAAAAATAACCCTTCATTTGTGTGTGTGTGTGCGTGTGCGCGCTCGCGCATATGCACGTATTGTTTTGTTTTTGAGTTACTGGAATTTAAACTCAAGAAACTCATGCTGGCTAGGCAGGTACTAATTACCTCTTGAGACACTGTTCAGCCCTCTTGTGCCATCTTGATAACCTACAGTATATAAACAAGTCCTGACACCAAAAAGTCTGAGCACCAACAACTGACTCTGAAACAAAGCATCACAATAGGGTGGGGAAGGCTAGGTCTGTGGTTGAGCTTTGAAGTCAGACACATGACTATAGCGCTCCTATAGGAGCCTGGGGCTCCTTCTGGCACCCAGTCCTGGGCCGCCTGACCACTTCTTTAGCTTGTAGGCATCTTATGGAGTGAGATGACTCCAGGAGCTAAGGAGGGGCTAGGTAGACTACTGGCTTTTACCAAGGATTCTGCCTGTAAAAGAATCCAAAATGCTAGTGACTGCTCGCCAAAACATTGCTCTCTGATTTGGTCTGTACACAGCCTCCCAAGGAGGGGAGCTCATGCACTTTCTGAGAATGGCAACGATACCCAGCACTGGGGTATCATTGCTGGGTAAGCTCAAAAGGTACTTGGCTTTATGATTCTGCAAAGGAGTGACTTCTATCCCAAGGGACTGAGAACCTGGGCAGTAGTGCAGCTGTCATCACTCACCTTGCTGGGACAGTAATGGCATGCTTGGCAATGCAGGATCATAGGTAGGAGGCCCTGGGGGTGGGATTGCTGGCACAGCGAAGCTCTTCAATGGGTGAGAGGGGCGAACGTGGGCTGTGGGAAGGCTCTGGCCTGAATCTTCCTCTTGGGAGCTGGCCAAGTAAGAGGAGCTGGTAGCACCTTCAGGATCCTGATGGTCAGTGCAGCAGGTCTGGGACGAGGAGGCCGGCATGGTATCAGTGCTGGGGGTGTTTCGAACAGATTCTACAGCAGGAGAGCCTACATGTTAGCACTGATTTTACTGCTAGAACACACGCATTGCTGGTAACTTCTTTGGGTCCCTAACCAGTTCAATAAGCACTTGGGACCAGTGCTAGCCCAGCTAAAAACTGACTGATCTAAGAGTCCTCAACCAGCTTTTTCAATGCTACACAGCTAGGTGGTCACAACTTACGGAGTGCAAATAACAGGTTCCGGAAACTAGTGTCTGTAAGGAAGTATGAAAGAGAATTTAAACTTTCCCCCACTGGTCGATGCCTTTCCTAGATAGCCATGACTAGTCACAAGGCTACCCTAGTACTTGACACGAATCAGTTTTGGCGGCAAGATCTATGGCCAACCCTCAGATCCTCCTGCCCACCACGGACTGTGCAGAGCTTTGGCCTCACTAGACTGAAAACCCACAGCTCAGGTGAGGATTGGACAACCAAACAGCCCAGAGGTCTACACAGCCTTAAAGCTCATGCCAACTGAAGGATGTTTTGGTCCAGAGAAAGAAACAATGGTGTGGATTAGCCTAGAGAAGGAAAGACTCCAGAAGAATGTGGTAACAACCTCCAGCATGTAGAATGGGCAGAGCTGTCCTGAGGTGGCAGTCTGACACATCTGCACTCTAGTTGTGGCACTGTGGATGGGTAAATTTGGTAAAGTCCCTGAATCTTTGAGTCTAAGTTTCTTCATCTACAAAACAGGGAGAGTATCAGGTCATTCACTGAGGATTAAATGACATGTTTGAAAAGAGCTGAGCACAGTGTCTTATGGATAAGACTGTTTTCTTTGTAGATTCCTGGTGTTTGTGAACTACAGGTAATATGCTAAGTGCTTGCCACTCATTGGCTCATTTGTTCACCAGAGTGACTGGGTAAGCAAGCAAGTGTCCCACAAATAGAACAAGCAGACAGCCCAAGCCCTGCACAGATCCCCACACCTGCGCTCTGGAGCACCACATGCTCGCTGCCTGCCCCTGCCCCATGCTGCCATTCTCCCTGATAAGCAGCAGCGATGCAGGTGGACTACTGTTGGGAGACTTGCACACAGTGTGAGTAGGGCAGATGTCCTCCTCCCTGGAAGAATGGTATAGAGGACAACAGCCAGGCCAGAGCCTGGAGTTCTTTCACTTCTGGAATCCTCACCCTTAAAATTTAATGTATGGCCAGGTGCCGGTGGCTCACACCTGTCATCCTAGCTACTCGGGAGGCTGAGATCTAAGATCTAAGATCTAAGTTCAAAGCCAGCCGGGGCAGGAAAGACTATGAGACTCTTATTTCCAATAAACTACTTGAAAAAAGCTGGAAGTGGCACCATGGCTCAAGTGGTAGAATTAGCCTTGAGTACAAAGAGGCTTAGAGACAGTGCCCAGGCCGAGTTCAAGCCCCAGGACCAGAAAACAAACAAAAAAAAATAATGTACCAACATGAGTATCTACAGAAATTCAACCTATTTCTCCATCTTTGTGAGTGAGTAATGAATCCTCAGCCCTGGGCTTAGGGTAAAGCCCCCTTAGCTCATGCAAGTCTTGATTTTCAGGGATGAGGGGCGAGCATGCTCTCCCAATGTGTCTGTCTGTAATACCCCCACCTCGGCTTAGGCCACCTCTCAGCCTCTGAAGGGGCATGCTGGAGATGTCACTTCTCAGCTTGCTTAGACAAGCCGTCATCATGGCTGAAGAGCTGCTGGTCACCCTCTGTGTGATCCTGGCCCATTAAGAAGGTGTTTAGGAAGTATGGAGGATGAAGAAGGGAATGGGCCCAGTCCTGACCACAACAACAGGTACTTGCAGATACCTGTAGCTCTGGGCACATAGGCTTACCCTGTTTTGATTGCCTTTAAAGCAAGGACTGTGGGCAGGGCAGGACTGTCTGTACTCTATGGAGAGCACTGGGCATACTGCATTCTGTGAGGGCTGCTTTTCAACAGGGCGATACCAGGTTCTACTCAGATACTAGGCTGTGATTAAAATTTGTTTTAGCAATGGGCGTAACTCCTGACTACTTATTGTATTTTATTTTTTAGTTGCGGGGATTGAACTCAGCCTGGGTGCTGTCCTTGAGCCTCTTTGTGCTTAACCTAGTGCTTTACTACTTGAGCCACAGAACCACTTCTGACTTTGACTAGTTTATTGGAGATAAGAGTTTCATGGACTTTCTTGTCTGGGCTGACTTCAAGCCGCAATCCTCAGATCTCAGCCTCCTGAGTAGCTAGGGTTTTAGATGTGAGCACTCGACATCCTGATTTAAGTCACAGGAAATTTATAGAGGCCATGTGCTTGGCCAATGGCTTTTCCAGTATCAAGTGGTAGTGGCACAGTAAATGCCTCTAAGACATGCCTGGCTGGCCTTCAGTCCTGCCTAGCCCCCAAGTCTAGTGCTGTGGGAGCACTAAGCCCTAGAGAAACAAGGACTTAGGAAAACACAGGAGCAGAACCTGGATCATTTCTAGACACTGGGTTTATTTTTCAAGTTCATCTCCAATGAATCTAACACTTTAGCTTTACCCTTTTTAATCCCGTGTTCACTAATGCAAGGAATCCTTTAGTAATACAAAGCACTACACTTTTCTCCCCTCTCTTTACTTTCTGTCTGGCTTTTTTTTTTGTTTTTTTTTTTGGTCTGTTATGGGCCTTGAACTTAGAGTCTGGGCTCTTTTGCTCAAGGTTAGTGCTCTACCACTTTGAGCCACAGCGCTACCTACTTCTGATTTCCTGGTGGTTTACTGGAGATAACAGTCTCACGGACTTTCCTGCCCAGGCTGGTTTTGAACCATGATCCTCAGATCTCAGGCTCCTGAGTAGCTAGGATTATAGCTGTGAGCTTTTATCTAACCCCTAAATCCTTCCTAGTCCAGGATGAGGCAGGAGATGCTTATATGATCAGTAGAAAATGCTTCCTACTCAGGCAAGCCCATATCTGAATGGGTGCGATTCCTTGGCCCTCAAAATGGGGCCGGGTTGGGCACAAAAAATCTTCTTTTTAAAAGCAGGATTAGAAGGCTGATTTCTGGTGTTCTGTTCTGTATAAGACCATGTCTGTAAAACAGACTTTAGTTCTCCATGCAGCTACCTGGGACAACTGGAGGGCCATCTTCCCCTGACGGTAGAATCCCAAATCTGGATTTGGAAAGAAATAGCAGGAAGGCCAAATGTAGACATGAGCTTAAGCAGTAATAGCTGTAGGACCAGGTGGTATTGGGAGCTTTGGTCTTCATGTGCTAGGGCTTACTTATAACTGACTAGAACTTAAGGACAGGGATGTTACAGCAACCCAAACTTCTAAGCATGATGTTCTGAAATTATGTTAAAATGGAGCTCATTTGAAACTTACTTATTTCCCAGAACCACCACTGTTTAGTTTTAACATTAGTAACAGTTAATAGGCACGTACCAAATGATGGAAAAAGTGTTGTATGTATAAGAAGTTACTGGATTTAACAGTTTAAAATGGAGAGGATGAAATTAATTCGTAATTAATGAGGAACAATAACATTTATTCCATTTACGCCCATCTCCATTATTTTCTCGTTAAAACTGTTTGATAATGCTGTTTCTTAGGACTTCTAAACTGGGGTATGTCTGTCTGGCAATGTATTTTAGCTACACATAAGACTGATCTATCTGTGTTTGCAGACACATACCCTTTCCTCATTTTCAGTGTGAGGCTGCCTGGGGTTTTGTGGTCAGCACAAACTCAATGTGGCTGGCGGTCCAGTATCACCTGCTGGGCTCCCAGACTTTGTCCTTACTCTCATCCACAGGGAAGGAATGAGCCCCTCATGGCTGCCCAAAATGATGGCAAAGAAAGGCAATCACGGACACCTGAAAACTACCCAGAAGGAGGTTTCCTTTCACATGGGAAGAAGCATCAGTCAGGAAAAGGTAAAAACAAGAATGACTAGGTTAGGGCTGGGAAGGTGGCTTAGTAGTAGAGTGCTTGCCCAGCATGCACGGAGCCCTGGGTTTGATTCCTCGGTACCACAGAGACAGAAAAAGCTGCAAGTGGCTCTGAGGCTCAAGTGGTAGAGTGCTAGCCTTGAACAAAAGCTCAGGGACAGTGCCTAGGCCCTGAGTTCAAGCCCCAGGATTGGAAAAAAAAAAAAGACTAAGATGTGCTTTTATGACCTGAGTTATCATGTTTTTACTATAATAGCACTGTGTACTGAGAACTTAAAATTCAGGGAGAAAAGTGGAGTGAATTTTGCAGAAAGAAATCTGAGTCTGTCACAGAAATGTTACATTAAATAAATAACAAAAATTTCTATGCAGGGTAAGGCCTTCCCCCTTTCTGCTTGCCGACTCTTGGAATGCTTTCCATGTGGGCTCGGTTCTCATCTCTCACCTGTGGAATTGGCCCTGTCTGAAAGGGACAAGGATGTGCCAACGGGCCATGGGCTGCCCGGGTGGTAGAGATGACTGCGGGCTGGAGAAGCGAGGCTGCTGGAGTGGAAATGATGGTGAGGGTTATCGAGGGAATGGATGGGATGGGCACTAATCACAGCTGTGAATGAACACAAGACAGAGAAATGCTTAACATGCTTGCACAGACACACACAAATCACATTTCAAGAGCAAAGTCACCCTCTTCCCACCTCCCACACAACCCAGTCACTCCCTTGACTCTTTGGTGGCAGCTGGCTGAATCATCAGCCACTGACTTCACACTTAAAAATGAATATGCTCCTATGCACCCATTTTCTATATATGTACAAAGTTCTAAGGAATATATATATAAATGTTAAACCATAATTATTTTGCATAGAGTCATAGAGTTTAAGAATGTTTTCCTTTTGGATTGTATTTTCCAACTCTCCTATTACAAAAATGGACTAATAGGCTATTAAAATATCTATTTGGATGCCATAAAATATGAGTCCTTAAGGCAAAGGAAACAGTGGCTTGTCTATGATAGGTATTTTTTTGTTCTTCTAAAGGTATAGCTGTTTCTTCTTGAGTACAGCCCTAATTCGTTCTCTTTATTTGCCAGAAGTCACATGTAATGGGTATTAGTAAATAAGTAGCTGTTTCATCAGTTTTCCTGCCCTAAAAGGACCACAAATGAAATTTAACTCCTGATCCAATATAGTACTAAAAGCATGAACTACAGATCTGTGGTACCATTTCTTCTGCCTCCTGTTTTGGGGCTCAGCCACATCCATTAGAATTTTGAAATATAAATGGACAGTCCCTGCCTTTGCTGGACAAGGATTCAATCTGGTGAATTATTCACTTAGCTAAGGAACCCAAAGCTCCACACAGGGCTGCTGTGTACAACTTTCTCTGATGATGCTTCTTTAATGAACACTTTTTTTTTTTGGTCATGGGGCTTGGACACTGTCTCTGAGCTATTGTGCTCAAGGGTAGCACTCTACTACTGTGAGCCACAGTTCCACTTCTGGTTTCCTGGTTGATTAATTGGAGATAAGAGTCTCACAGACTAAGTGCCTGGGCTGGGTTTGAACTGTGATCTCAGCTTCCTAAGTAGCTAAGTTTACAGGTGTGATCTATCAGCTCACCCAGCTCTCTCTCTCTCCCCTTTCTCCTTTCTGCCCCCCTTCCTCTCTCTGGGGGTCAGTTGTGGGGCTTGAACTCAGGGCCTGGGAGCTGTTCCCAAGCTCTTTTTGCTCAAAGGTAGGCCTCAGCTCAAAGTGTATTGTGGTTAATCAGAGATAAGAGTCTCAGACTTTCCTGCACTAGCTAGCTTTGAACCCTGATCCTCAGATCTCAGCCTCCAGTGTAGCTACGATTTACAGGCATGAGCCACAGCTGGCTTTCTTTAATGAAGCCTTAAGTTCAGTCTCATGAGATGTAAACAAAGAAACAAAAGCAGAAGCCCAGGACTAGAGAAGATATTTCTTAGATATTCCTCAGAACAGTTGCGGAAACTGTTAATTAAGATCAAGATAATCAGCTCTAAAGCCCAAAATGGGTAGACTAGGAATATAGGCAAGTTTTTATTCCCCAAGCAAGGGCTTCAAGAACTTTATGGTAAAATCTAGTAAGTCTTTTAGAGCCCATTAAAATGTCCTTTGTTGCCAGGGATCTCCTTACATCTCAGTGGGGCAGGATGACACAGATGGGAGCCACTGGCAGGCCCAAGGTAAGCAATCACAACCAGAAAAGCTGGCTTCAGGGGTTGCCTCCAGGGACACAGGTCGTTCTTACAAGTGAGATGCTTCATAATCAGCTTTTTCCAAAATTTAGGCTGAGGTGAGAGTAAACCTTAAAAGCATTCTCGGTATAAATGAGTCTTACCAAAGAAAGAGAATGTTAGTTTTCCCTTTAAACGGTATTTCTAGTGCTTCCAAATAAATAAAAAACAAAACATGAATGTGACCAACTAGAGTGGGCAAACTGTAGCTGTTAGCTGAATCTAAGCATAATTGCTTCTGGGCACGGCCTTGGCCTGAATTTCATCTTGATGCCCGCAAGCCTTTCCTAACACCAATAAACATTTAGATATCAGGGCAGGTGAATGCTGAGTGCGTGGCTCCAGCCCCCTCCTACATTCAGAGCTCAAGGATCCCCAGCTTGTAGTAGTCATGTACGTTTTGAAAAGGATCCTAAAAAGTTATAAAGTATATTTAGGCATCTGGTTTCAGTTTTCTAAATTAAAAATGTCTACTTAGAGGGAAGGTGGCTCAGTGGTAGAGTGCCTGCCTTGCATGCATGGGGCTCTGGGTTTGATTCCTGAGCACCATATAAGCAGAAAAAGCCGGAAGTGGCGCTGTGGCTCAAGTGATAGAGCGCTAGCCTTGAGCTGAGGGACAGCACCCAGGCCCAGAGTTCAGGCCTCACGACTGACAAAAAAATAAAAATAAAAAATGTCTACTTACTACCCCACTATGTGGGGCACAAATTATGATACTGTATATTCACGTATACTCCTTCCCCACTATACAAAAAAAAAAGACTGGAGGTGTGGCTCAAGCTCAAATGGTAGAGTGCCAGCCATGAGCAAGAAGGCCAAGTAAGGTAAGGAAGCCCCCAAGTGCAAGCCATAGAGTACCACGCACCACTATCATGAAAAAGAGTGGGAGAAAGGGAATACACAAAAGAGAACAAGAGAGAGAGGGGGGATGGGGTGACGGAGAGGAGGAGAAGAAAGGGAGAGGAAAGGATGATGTTAAGCCAGATGTTGGTGGCTCATGCCTATAATTCTAGCTACTCAGGAGGCTGAGATCTAAGGATTATGGTTTGCAGCCAGGCTGGGCGAACAAATTGAGAAACTCTTATCTCGAATTAACCAGTAACAAGTCAAAAGTGGCTCCAGTAGAAGAGCAACAGTAGTGAGTGAAAAAGGTGAGTGAGATCTAAAGGCTCGGAATTCAAACACCAGTACTGGGAGGAAAAACAAATGTCTATTGGAATAACATCTTTTCTTCTTTAACCTATCTAAAAGTAATAAATCTGGAAGTAGAGACTGTCCAATTTTACAAGTTTTCAAAATAAGCCAATTTAAGTAGGAGCTCTTAGAGAAATGAATAAGCACTTAAGTGATCATCTTCTTGGAAATAATAAGCAATTTTAATGGATTTACTTTTACTTTTTATGAACATTTGTGTCCTAAACATGGGAGGACTTATACAGGGCACCTCTTACATAGGGACACCATGGTTTTTCCCTGAAAGTTTTCAAGTCTAGGCCTGCCTAGCATAAGCTACTGTGTACAGAAATTACCTTTTATGGAATAGGGCCTCACCCTCTCAAACTCATAATTTTAAGTGTGCACTGTGTGTGTGTGTATGTGTGTGTGCACACATGCACATGGTGCTCAGAAGTTTCAACGCAAGTGTGGGAAGAGAAATTCTCCAAAGAGGATGCTATGAAGCATTTCTTTGTATGTAGGACATTCGTGGCTATTTAAATAGCATTTTTGTTGGCAGAGATTCCTTAACTGGAAGCTCCACATTGTCAGTCCAAAAGGCTATCCTGAAAACAGAGACAAGGGAGGGGAAACAGTAGTTTGAAAAAAAAAGAATTGGTGTCATTCCTTTTGGATTTTGTGAGTGTTTTCTTATGTAGCTCAGGCTGATCTGGAACTCAATAAGTAGCTCAGGTAGGCCTTGAACTCCTAATCCTCTGGCCTCACTAGCCTCTGCAGTGCTGGGATTACAGGTATGTACAACTATTATTAAAGGAGGATCAGCAACTTTCATGCTTATCAAAATGAGACACTGGTCAGCAGACATAAAAAAAACCAAAACAATTACTTTCAAAATTTTGTGCTGCCAATCTGAAGCAACGCTAAAATACAAAGTCTACTAATTAAAAATTAAGTTCTGGGCTGGGAATGTGGCTTCATGGTAGAGTGCTTGCCTAGCATGCATGAAGTTCTGGGTTTGACACATAAACAGAAAAAGCCAGAAGTGGCTCTGTGGCTCAAGTGGTAAAGTGCTAGCCTTGAGCAGAAGCAGCTCAGGGACAGTGCCCAGGCCCTTAGTCCAAGCCCCAGCACTGGCAAAAATAAAAAAATTAAACTCCATAGGTGATCCTCAACTCTGAACACATGTGAGGAAGCTGAAGGAACACAGGTGGCGTCTTGTAAAGCTCAGTGCCCGAGTCTCAAGCAACGTATCTCCATCTCTCATGGAGATGCTAGGTACTTTAAGAGAAATGGACAGTTTGCTACTCCTGGGAGACAATGTAAATGGGCTTTTTAGTTTATTTACCCATAGCTTAAAGATGCTAGCCTTAAGAATGGTATTTATCTGCACAACATGGCAAGAGTTTGCCCTTTCTTCCTTCAAGGTGTCATACCTTTATCTTTAGTGTTCGATCAAGGAGAGTCAAAGAGATGACCCTTGCTGTTCCCCACATGATGGGACAGACCCGCAGCACTGGGAAAAGAGAAGCTTCTACTTACGCTGGGGTGGCTGAGAGTCAAAAGGCATCATCATTTTTGGTCTCATTCCCCGCCTTCCAGCCAGTGTAGACATGCTGTCCTCTGACTCATGTCCTAGACATCAACCAGGAGGTTAGCTTCAAGCATCTGCTCTAGGCCACTGAGCAGTCTCCACAGAAGAACATTTCCAGTGGGGCGCCCAGGACTCACAAACAATGCCCACTGTGCTTCTGTGCATGTCTGTAAGGGCATCTAGATCACCAATGTCTGAAATCAGGACAGTGAGAGTCCCACCTGCAGTGAGCAGGTGTGGGCTAGGGGGTTCACATGCCTGAGTAGAATATGACTGTCCCTGTGGGTACAGAACCTCCCCTAACAAGCCCTCTATCCAATGCTGACCAAATCTCATAAGACATTTCTTTAAACAACCTTTTATATGAATCACCAAGTTAAGGCGACCACGCAAAGTAGAAAATAATTTAAACAAACATACTCTCTCAATATTTAGGGAAAAAAAAACCTGCCCTGAAAATTACCTCTGTATGAATTTCGCCTTTGATGGATATTGCTGTCCATGGAATTGTCAACCGGTGTGATATCTTGAGAATTGCGAGGAATTGGAGTATCCGTCATGATAGGATTTGGGTCTGGGGACTTATCAATGGGCTTCAGCTCCAGCCTTTCGTGATGGATCCAGAGGTCTGGAGGTTTCACATCCTTGGAGTTACCTTTGTACTTGTGGGAGCCGTTCACTGATTTGCAGGCAGCTCGTTTCCTAGATATGAAATTGAAAGGTTTTTTGTTTTTTTTCTTTGCCAGTCCTGGGACTTGAACTCAGAGCCTGGGCACTATCCCTGAGCTTCTTTTTGCTAGCACTCTACCACAAGCCACAGCTCCACTTCTGTCACTTTTTTGGCAATTTATTGGAGATAAGAGTCTCATGGACTTTCCCACCTGTGCTAGTTTTGAACCATGATCCTCAGATCTCAGCCTCTTGAGCAGCTAGGATTACAGGTGTGAGCCACGGCACCTGGCTTAAATGGAGTTTTATTAAAAAAAAAAAATCCTAGCCGGGCCTTAGTGGCTCAGGCCTGTAATTCTTGCTACTAGGAGGCTGAGATCTGAGGATTGTGGCCAGCCCAGCCCAGTACAGTTCATGAGACTCTTATCTCCAGTTAACCACCCGAAAACTAGAAATGAGGCTGTCGCTCAGAGTGGTAGAGTTCAAGTCTTGAGCAAAAGAGCACAGGGACAGTGCTCAATCCCTGAATTTAAGCTCCATGACTGACAAAAAGAAAAAAATAACCCAAACCTTTTGAACATATCGGTCAAAGCCAGAAACTAACATAAGATGCACAAACAAACAAACAAACAAAAAACCACAAAAAGACAAAACAAAGCTAAACAAAAACCAGAGGCAAAAAGTCTACTTTTTGAAACAGTACATTTTCTTATGTTTGTGAACTGTGTTAGTGTTTATCTGCATACTGCCTATTTTTTTGTGTGTTGAGATGATCAAATTCTCTAAAAAGAACTCTCCTCCTCCAGGAGGAGGAACCAGGTGAAGTCTATGGCTTTATAAAGGAAGGGGAGGAAGGTGGAGGAAGGGAGAAAGGGAAGAAGGAGTGAGTCACTTTTCAGGTAACTAGAGTCAAAAATGGGGACAATGTCCTTCGCTGTGCCTTAGCTTCTTCCTCATTGTCCATTTAATAATCAACTATGTCAAGCACTGCGCACGCCCTCAGTACTTCTGGTCAAGTGAGGAAGACAGACACTGAGTTACTATTTTTAAATGCTCAGAGTTTAGTGAAATGCCAAGTGTGAGGATAACATCTTAATAGGTGGACATAACATAGACAGACAGACAGACAGACAGACAGACACACACACACACACATACAGAGTGAAGAAATAACGTTTATGTGGAGATATAATGGAGACAGAAAGTGCATTCTAGGTGGTGAAATCAGCTTATGTCAAAGACCTGAAGCAGATGTCACCACCTAGAATGCACTTTCCGTACAAAGCATTACGTTAGAGAGATTCTGAGTCTTGAGTGTGTGCCTCTGTGTGTGTGTGCCTCTGTGTGTGTGTGTGTGTGTGTAGGGAACCATGCAGAGAATGACTGCATATAAGCTGGGAAGTACTCAGGAGAATATTATAAAAGGCTCTTGGAGGAATTTCCATGGCAAGAAAATAAGGAGATGAGTTTTAAGTTACAACTTTAGACCAGCTATGAGGTGAAGACAGTGAGGACACTGTTGAAACCTTGAAACTCTTCCGCCAAAATATCAATGCTCACCCACCTGCGCCTCCATCTCACCCTGCTTCCACCTGGCCCCCTCCTGTCACGCCCTGACTTCATTCTGCCTAATATTTAAAGAGCCCTAGTTGTAAGGGGGGTGGGGGGAGGGAGTGTGTTCTAGGTTCCCTTCAGCCAGGCTGCAGAGACTTGGTAGCCCTTCCCAGATTCACTCCCAAATAAAACCTGTTGGTATGTTAAGTTCGCTTTCCACCCTTTCTTTATTCTGAAACTCTATTGACTCAGTTTTCTTACAGTGGGAATGGAAAGAAGAGGCAAATCTGAAAGGTGTTTAGGAGGCAGACATGATAGGACTTAATGAAAAAAAGGGACGAAGGGTGGAGTGGAGGACAAGTAGGAATAAAGGATGAGACAGGTTTCTTTTGGCTTAAGCCACTTACTAACACTGAAAATAATGGACTAGAAGCTGTCTGATGGAAATAATCATGAACTGCTTTGGACATGCCGAGTTTGAAGCGGCTCTTTATGAAGAAATAGAAGAGAGGCTGAAGTCTGATCCTTAAAAGAGAGGGGCATGGGATGCACAGAGGAGACAAGATCGCAGGACTAGATGGGCATGGAAGGAAAAGAGATAAGCCCAGGCCCACAGAAATGCCTGCACATAGTGGCTAGGTAGAGAGGAGGACTGTGAAAAAGGACATGAGAGAATACTTCCAGAAGGAAGGGTAGCTGGTTAAGAGTCAGGAAGGGGGAAGGATTCCTATGGAATACATTCTTAGGCAATTTGGTGTGTAGCAATCAGACATAAACAAACATAGCTGTGATGCCAATAAGTGATATCATCTTTTGAGATCATGGTCACATATGCAGTATTAGGTGTTACAGGCTGCACAAAGTCTGAATCTACTGAGCATGGAGGCACACAACTGTGATCTTGGCACTTTGGCAGGCTCAGGCAGGAGAAATCATGAATTTGAGGCCAGCCCGAACTATACATAGTTGAGACCCTGTCTCAACTCCCACCAAAGCTTTTTAATAAAAATTAAAATTTGAAAAAAAAAGTTACAAAATCCTAAAGGTTTTTTGATCAATGAGAGCTCAAATTCGTAAATTATACAAATATTTCAGAATCTGAAAAATGCTGAAATCGGAAACACTTCCAATCCCGTGTATATAAAGAGATATTCAGTGTGTGTAAGTACCCCAGAGCTGATTTAAAATGTAGGGGAGGGTATGTGTAGGTTGTATGCAAGTATTAAGCCACTCTATACAAGGGACTTCAGTACCCTTGAATTTTGGTATCACCAAAGGGACTATCATGGATACTGACAGGTGACTATATTCAAGGTATTTTGGGAAAAGAGTCAGGAAAGGGTTTGTAAGCAGCTAGAGGTAGGAATCATGTAGTAGAAGGGTTATAATTATAATTATTTCTCAAGATGGAAGTCTTGAGTATACTTTAAGCTGAAGGAACACAGCCAATAGAGTGAGATGTTGGAGAAAGGGATATCAACAAGATCTTAGAAAGACAGAAGACAATGAGAACAGAGGACAAATAGAGGAGCTGGCTTTGAAAGGGAAGAAGTACACTTAGGAAGGGGGAGGGAACAGTTGTTCCCAGTGTAGAAAGGATGGAGATTAGATGGTAGTATGCTGGGGCACTTCTCATCTGCTGTGGTTTGGATATGGTGTATCCCCTACAAGTTTTTATAGTGAAAGTGTGGTATCTACTATTAATGACAGAAAGAGGTGGTCCTTTTACGAGACAAAGACTAGTGGAGGCAAATTAGGTCACATGGAGAAGCTTAAGACAGTTCTCACAGGACCCGGCTTGTTTCCTAAAGAAGTGGGTGTTGTAAGGGAGCCTGACACCTGCTCCTAATTCCTCCTGTGCATACAGCCAGCTCCTTTTCTGCTTCTGTGACCCAGGGCTCTCACCTGGGCATTGGTACTAGGTTTTTTCAGCCGCCAGAATCATGAGCAAGGTGAGCCTCTTTATAAAGTACCCAACCATAAGCATTTTTATAAAACAACACAAAACAGACCAATAGTTCCTCTGATGGCTCTACCTTCATCTTGAAGGAGAAGCTGGGCCATCTGTTGAGAGTGAGGGAGGCTCAGGTGAACAAGGTTAGGCTTTCTAAATTCACTACTGATTTGGGGTTGCAAAGTGCTATAAATAGTTACTAGCTAAGTGGAAGGTACTTTAGGTTTTAGCAAGAAAAGCAACAAGAAAAAGAAAAGCTCTTACTTTTAATTGTCTAACAGAATACTTAGAAAGCAGTTGTTGAGGCAAAGAAAAGAAAAAGCCCTAGAAGACTTGACATCATTATTTTAAAAACAGAACTCAAACCTGGAGCATCTGCAGATTCCATTTGAGTACACAGCCTATTGTCAGCTTATTTCCTACTCTGAATCGGAAGATCAAGTGCCATGAAGTTTATTTACTTTGAAATTTAAATCTAAAGCACTAAGGAATTCTTTGTCCTTTTGGCTTTTAGATTCTATTAAATAAAGACCTCAAAAATCCTCAAACAGGATATAAAAGCTAAGTTCATAAAGATAGGTAAATGTAAAATGCCAAATAAAGAAGCTTGCAGAAAAGTTCTAGAGTAGACAAAAAAATATATAGTCTTTGAAGCTTTTAAGAAATATAGTTTTCCACGATACAAAGTGGACAGGGCGCTGTAAGAGGTGGTGATCAGGAAGGATATAAAAGGAGTCCTCATTCTCATTCTCTTGGAAAAGTGAGGTAATGTAAGCCATGGAAAGCTGTTTTATTTGAGCAAAAGAAAGAGGTTTAAAATACCACATAAACTACAGAAAAAGACAAAGTCATTCTTAGCAGCAGTTCCAGGGCTCTTGCCCTGCCCTATATGTTGAAAATAAATAGATCATTATATTAAACATATGCATTCTTGCCTTGGGTAGATCAAATCTGAAAGATACCCACAACCACAGACATGATTTTCCACTTTATGGAGCAAATCCCCCTCACAACCTCTTAGGATGCTGTATCGACGTGATTTTGCTATTAGGGGCAACTTGGAAATCTCCTTTCTCTGACTCTGTCTTGCTGACCAGATAGATGAGGGTTCTCTAGCTCAGCATTGTAGTGCGTGTCATCAAGTACTATGTGGCTGAATGCCTTGCTCTTTGTATTAGGAACAAGTCTTGACATCCCAGAGAGCTCTGTGAAGCTTGTAACTCCCAACCAGCTATTAGAGTAATACCCTCTCCACATGCTTGGCAGCACTTCTTTTAAAAATCTTCCAAAATTTCCATTTATAATCAGAGGTTTAGGGTTTTCTCACACCTTGGCTGGACACAGACTGCTGTAGGTCTGATCATGAACCTCACACTGCCTGGCCTGCTGTACACGCACAGATAGTGCTCCAAAGGGTGCCAGGCAATGCTAGTCAGCTCCTACTCTCCTTTCCAAGTATCTTCTCTGCTGGGCTCCAAAATTAAGTGGCTTGAGCTAATGAACAATATTTGCTTGGTGATCTTGCTCCTGGCTTCCAATTAGATAAGGCAATAAAAGGGGCTGGCAAGAGACTCGGATGGAGGGAAGGAGGTGTTTCCTTACTGCCTCTCCCCACTGGGAGCATTCCTCTAGTTCCTCCATGTTCCACTGCTCTGGACTTCTGCTTCTCCCCTTGCCTTTCCAGGACTAAGGGTGGTTGGTACCTCATCATGCTGCTAGCCATGGTGTCCCAAACCCCATCCATGATTTTGTAAATGGTTTATTCTGAAGCTTGCTAGAAACCTGACACCTTTATAAGCTGAACAAATTTCCCTTTCCTTTTAAAATACAGTTGTAACTGGGAGAGTGAAGGAAGGAGTGACATCGTCTAAAAAAAAAAAAAGTTACTTCTTTTTTTGTCGGTCATGGAGCTTGAACTCAGGGCCTAGGTACTGTCCTTGAGCCTCTTTGTAGTCAAGGTTAAGAGCTCTACCATCTGAACTATAGCACTACTGGCTTTTTCTGAGTAGTTTATTGGAGATAAAGAGTCTCTCGGGTTTTCCTGCCAGACTGGCTTTGAATTGTTATCCTAGATCTCAGCCTGAGTAGCTAGGATTAGAGGCGTGAGCTACCAGTGCTCAGCTAGAAATGTACTCTATCTGACTTTTACGTAACTGTAACCCCTCTGTACATCACCTTTATAATAACAATCAAAAAAATGAAAAAAAATACAGTTATGTGTCATCTAACCATGATATGTTGTGCTATCATGTGAGTATCACGTATCTGGAGGAAGACCACTCCCCTATCCAGGCTGCCATGGGTAGCTGTGGCTTCTAGGCTACAAGTGGGTTCAGCATGTCATAGTACTGAACTTGGAAGGCAACTGTAACACTTAGTAAGCATTTGCATACAGCAAAAATATGGTATAAAAGATAATGGCTGGGTGCCAGTGGCTCACACCTGTAATCCTAGCTACTCAAGAGGCTGAGATGGGGGGATGACAGTTCAAAGACAGCCTGGGCAGGAAAGTCTGTAAGACTCTTTCGTTCTTTCTTTTTTTTTGGTTGGTCATGGGGCCTGAACTCTGGGCTTGGGCGCTGTCCCTCAGCTCTTCAGCTCAAGGCAAGCACTTTACCGCTTGAGCCACAGCAGCACTTCTGGTTTTCTACTGGTTTATTGGAGACTAATACTTTATTTCTACTCTTAAAATCATTGCTTTTGGAGGCTGGAATGTGGCTTAGTGGCAGACTGCTTGCCTATTATGCATGAAGCCCTGGGTTTGATTCCTCAGTACCACATAAACAGAAAAAGCTGGAAGTGGTACTGTGGCTCAAGTGGTAGAGTGCTAGACTTGAGCAAAAGAAGCTCAGGGACAGTGCCTAGGCCTTGAGTTCAAGCCCTAGGACTGGCAAAAAAAATAAAAAATAAAATAAAATAAAATTCCTTACACAGTAGCTTCAGCCTCCCCGGGGTCAGAAACTGACAACAATACATCACTGTCATTGCTGTCATACCCTGACCCCTGGGAGAGCCTGTGGGCAGTAACCACAGGGTCTGGGTCTCCCAGGGTAACAGTGCTTTCTTCTGGGGACTGATCTGGGGCTCTTCCCTGTCTGCTTGATTAACTTCCTTTCACCACCTTTTAAGCAGTACACCAAGAGCATTCCTCACTGTTAGTGCAGAGTATGCGTGATATGTGTGTGGGGAGGCCTGATTCCAAATGTTTTAAGGAGCTTGTGAGGGTGTGTAAAAGCTGACTCTTCGCTGAGAATGTTCTTGGGAGTTCTTCTCTTCTGCAGCTGCTTTTTCTCTTGCTCTTAAGACTCTTCTTTTCACTGGCTGTTGAGAATTTTTAAACTCCACTATCATTGCATAGGACTACTGTCATATACACGGTCCTGTGCTGCTTTACATACAATCACACACTGCATTTGACATTGCTTTTCATGTGCTCTTCCTTTCAATTCTTTGTACCAGTCTTAAGAACAGGTGTACAGAAGTAAAAGTGGAAACTTTATGGAGACATTTGGGGCTGCTTACTTTTTCTGGTGAGAGGTGGTGCGCCGAGTACAAAAGACGGCGATGATCACCACCACCACAATGGTGATGACGCCAACAGAGACGATGATGACCAGCAGCATGTTGCTGTCTAGAGACGTGGGGCTTCCGTGAGGGCTGTTGCTGCCTGCACAGGAAAATGGACATTTGTTAACTTACTCATTTTCAAAAATGCATTCAATCAGGCTATCAAACACAAAGACATCCCACAGGAGTGCAATGTTTCCTAACTATCACACTTTGAGAAGGTGATGAACTCTCCAGATGATAAGCCGAGACACTCCCCAAATGCAGGGCCCAGCAGGGCAAGGACAGTATTCAATAAAAGCTTCTTGAGCTGCGCTGTGATTTCAAGGTTTCAAAGGCTCAGATATACTTGGATGGATAACGGGTCTTGCCTTCCTGGTGTCTCCCTTGTAATATATATATATATACACATGTGTGTGTGTATATATATATATATGTATGTATATATATATACACACACACACACACATACAATGTATATACATATATGTATATATGTATACATATGTATATACATATACATATATATACACAATGTACCTTGGAAAGTACTATCTCTAAGTCATTTGGTTCTTTTGGCTTTCAAAACCATTGAAAAATATGTATGTATATACATTTACAGAAAGCAAAAGTTTTCCCTAGATTAGAAATTGCTGAGATTACAAAAGAATTTTTTGAAAATATCTTTTGATAAATAGACTATGCAGAGTTAAAAGTAGGTCTACAAATTTTCATTATTAACCTGGTGACTATTTGAGTGGCTATTATGTTGAAATCATGCTCTAGGTACTAAATGCTGAACAATAAAGGTGTGTTTCTATTATTGTTGGGGTTGGGGCAGGCGCAAGCAATAAAGAAGAAATTGCTCGTTAGTAATAATGAGTGCCATACCAGAAAATAAAATGAGGAATATGATAGGGTGACTGTGTGGCTCATTTAGGTAGAAAGATTAATAAAACTGTTCTGAATTCAACGTGGATGCCTAGGGATATACAAGTGGCACAGAGGAGGAGCACAGGGCACTGGCCCATGTGGACAATCCCTTTCCACAGCACTGGAGAAGCCAGACCTGAAGCCCGCACTTACACATTCCAAGAACCTCCCAGAGTCCTGTGGACAGGGACTGAGGAGACAAACCACATGCATCCAGCTGTCTGGAGTACTCAATCTGGATTCTACATTCAATTTTGTTTAATCTGTTCTACTGTATTGATAAGTGAATTAAAAAGAAAGGAAGCAACGGAGGAGGGAGAGAAGGGAAGGAGAAAGGAAGGAAAGAAGGAGGAAAGGAGGGAGAATGGAGCTTTTCTGATACAATGGCACTTGAGCTGATATCTGGAAGGTAAAGGAGGATTCCATTACACAAAAATCTCAGGAAAAGGGGGGGGGAGAGGTTTGGGTGGGGGGGTGAGGGGAGGATGGGAAGGATTGGGAAGGGGAAACAAAGGAGGAGGCTACAATGCTTGATAAGAAATGTACTCATTATCTTGCCCATGTAATTGTAACTCCTCTGTACAGTATTTTTTCACAATTAAAAAAAAAAAATCTCAGGAAAGGGCTGGGAAGTTGGCTCAGTGGTAGAGTGCTTGCCTTGCATGCATGAGGCCCTGGGTTCGATTACTCAGCACCATATAAGCAGAAAAAAGCTGGAAGTGGTGCTGTGGCTCAAGTGGTAGGTTGCTAGCCTTGAGCTGAAGAGCTGAGGGACAGCGCCCAGGCCCAGAGTTCAGCCCCCATGACTGACAAAAAAAAAAAAAAATCTCAGGGCAGAGCTCTCTGGTCCTGAAGCAGGAAAAGGCAGTACTGAGATGTGATTCAGCGGGAAGGAAATGAGAAGAAAAAAGTGTAGATGAGGCCAGAGATACACAGAGATCAGATCAGTTTAGCCCTTAAAGAAATTCCTATTTTCTTCTTTCTATTGTTGCCATTTCCCATTACTTATAGGATGAGGTTGAGGCTTTTTATCATAGTCTTCTGTAATGTAAACACGTCTTGGTGTCTTCTACTTTTTGAAACATATTTCTTGGCTTCCCACCTCATTAATTAAGTCAAAATGAGGCACACAGACCTAAGCACTGGATGTCTGGTATCTTTCCTTGTAATTACCCTCTTTGAGTCTAACAATAATGAGATGAGCCTCCTCCCTTGTTGGGTAATGAGTCACTAGTTGTTAGAAGTATGTAGGATGAAGCATCCTATCACTGTAGGGTGTTGTGAGAACCTGTGTTTGTGGAGAAATTTCCCCTAGCAAGTCTTATGCCACCTGCTTTCTACACTTATGGACTAATTCAAACTTTACCCACTGTGGGAATACGTCCCGCAACGCTGGATTAGCTGGCCTTCCAACTTTGATTCTGTGATTTTAGAGACTACATCTAACACAGGGCTAAATCTAGGCTGATTTAGAAGGGCTTAGAAGCTTATTCATTTACATTTTGGTCAATCATTTCTAAGCCTTTGTTTCTGAGAAAAAGGAAAGCAGATGATGTAAACTGTCCAGACCCACACTGACCTTCAATAAAGTAATGGTTTTGTCTTTGAAAAGATGACACTGCCGGAAGTGGCGCTGTAGCTCAAGTGGTAGAGCGCTCGCCTTGAGCTGAAGAGCTGATGGATAGCGCTCAGGCCCAGAGTTCAAGCCCCACGACCGACAAAAAATAAAGAAGAAGAAAAAGAAAAAGGAGAAGATGACACTACTGGGACTGACCCATTCATATTCCAACAGGGCCTTTGTCAGCAAAAGTGCTGGGCACTGGTGGGAAGCCACTGTGAACCACAGCTGGGAGCTGGGGTATGGTGCAAGCTGGTCTAGTTCTAAAAAGAGGCTGACTTCAGTCAAGTATGGACAGAACCTTTTTTGGGGGGGACAGTTCTGGGCTTGAACTCAGGATCTGGGTGCTGCCTACAGTCTACCATTTCAGCCACAGTTTCATTTCAAGCTTTTGGTTAATTTGATTAATTGGAGATAAAGGGTCACATAGTGAGGACTTTCTTGCCTGAGCTGGCTTCAAACCACAATCCTCAGTTCTCAGCCTCCTGAGTAATTAGGATTACAGGTGTGAGCCCCAACGCCAGGCAACAGCACCACTTTTAGATATCCAGACAGATGGACGTGGACAGAACACTGTATTCCCACAGCTAGACTATGAGTTTCTATAAGACTGTACTTTCTTTTCTATGTACCTATAGACAGAGGTGATAAGATAATAAGGATCAATTCTGGTAACTTTTTAAGAACAATCTTTTGGCAGTACTGAGGATTGAACCCAGGGTTTTGCATATGTACCTTGAAAGTCTTGAGTGCCATTTGAGCCATAGCCTTCAGCTCTTTTATCTTTATTTTTGTTTTGCCTTACTAGCTTTGCCCGGCCTGTCTCCAACATCCAGTCTTTCTGCCTCTGTTTCCCAATCTTCCTGCCTCTTTTCCCAAGAAACTAGGATTACAGGCATGACCCATTATTATTGCTCAGCCTCTAGGAACGACATTTGTGGACACTTTGCCATTCAGGATTCTCATGTCTGGTGCAGAGTCCCATTTAGGTTTGCCTGTGACAGTGGCAAAACACAGAGACCTGAATTTTGATTCTATGCCAGAATTAGCAGGTGGCCCCAGGTATATTACTTCTTCACATCTATCTTAACACATTAGCTGGGAATAATGGCACCCATTTTCCCTGCTGCCCAGAGTTGTAAGGCTCAAATTTCAGGTGATTTCTGGTGTAGAAGTTAACTTGGAAATGTTGAATGAAATTCTGTAGGAAAAGAGGTGTTGTTGAATTAGAAGGCATTCATTTTTACAGTGGTGAGGAAAGTGGGAAGAATTTTCTAGAATCACTAAACTTAAAAAGAGGAGAGCATGCTATCATCCACTATGCAAGCTCTAAGACACACAGCACGGTGTGTAAGCAGAAAACCTCATGCTCATAGTAGGCTAAGAAGCTGGAGGAAGGGCTTTACCACTCATGGGAGGTTTGTAGTCGGATCCTAGGTCTGGCAGCCGGCTTCCTTTTCCTGCAGACCCTGAGGCTGAAGCAGAAGGAATCATGTCAGTAAGGACCCACACACTGGTGTGACAGTTCATGTCACAGCGAGCGGGTGTTTTCTACAAAATAAATGCAACATTTTCAGTCTAGTCTGAGGAAACAAAGTTAACACATAAACAACAGGGGGGAATCTAGTCTACAAGTGCAAGGAAACCAGGGTACAGCTTTTCCATACACTGAGGCATCTGAAAGGCTGACACCAAAGTCACACAGTCGTGACCTGATTGCTGTGCTGCAGGTCAGGAAGTGGGCACACCCAGCCCCCCCAGCCCAGGGAAGAGCTCACATCTGGAGGACGTATGGCAGAAGTAACTTCTTTTGGAAAAGGAACCAGAGCCATCAGTTAGGTTGAGGCCTGCATCCCAGAACTACACTCTTCCAAGAACCTGGCTATGCTAATCTGGCCTGGCCAGTGTGAGTACCATTCTGATTCTCTTCTCACATCAAGAAATTGCCTTTCCAAGAGTAAAGAAGCCTAAAGTGGGAGGCAGGGAGATTCACTCAAAGGAGCTTGGTTGGGTTCTCTGTTCTTCCTGTCATTCTAACATCCTCTTTCTAATTGTAGTTGCTCACAAGGGTCACTGTCCCCTAACTCATCACAGGCACAGCGAAGGGAGCGGCCCACCTCAGGCTTTTGGGGACCACCTCAATAGTGTGCCTCAGTTACTGTAAATACCACTTTCAACCCTTGCCCATACAACCACCCAAGGTTTGTGGCCAGAAACATGTTCCTCATCCAAAGAAATCTGAACAAACTGCAAGGTTAGAGCTGCTCCTCCTGACTAACACAGTAGAGCGCTCAACAGACCACATCTGAATACCAGGCTCTGTCATCTCTCAAAAGTTTGCATCTGGCCAAGTTACTTAACTATTCTTTTGGGGCTTCAGTTTCTTCCTTTTAAAACAGGGATGCTAATGCTATCGATGTGACTATAAATGGAAATTTAATACTACAAAATATTTTGAGTACTGCCTGATGTATAGTAAATGTTCAACATAATGTATATATACACATATCATATATATACATATACATATGGAATTTTTTTGTCATTGTGGACTTGAACTGTCCTCAAGTTCTTTTGCTCAAAGCTAGCACTCTACCACTTCAAGCCACAGCCCTACTACCATTTTTGTTTTTATTTCCTGAGGTTAATTGGAAATAAGAATCTCTGATTTTCCTGCCCAGGCTGGCTTTCAATTGTGATCCTCAGATCTCAGCCTCCTGAGTAGCTAGGATTACAAGTGTGAGCCACCAGTGCCTGGCTTCAATAAATGATTTTTATTATAAACTATCATCATTACATGCATAATGAATCTTCAGGGAAAGAACATAATCTTTCCTGTCACAGAGTATGGAGCTTCAGAAAACAGTTATGAAAGTTATTTCTACAAATAAAGCTTGATTAGAAGTACATAAACTAGATGTGCCTCTCCGAACATTACAACTATGCTAAGTCCTCTTCTTTTCTTTCTTTTTTATGCTGGTCCAGGGGCTTGAGCTCAGGATGTGGGCTGAGCTTTTGTGTTCAAGATTAGCACTCTACAGCTTGAGCCACAGCTCTACTTCTTTGGTGCCAGATAACGTAAGAGATAAGAAGTCACACAGACATTCCTGCTTGGGCTAGCTTTGAACCATGATCCTCAGAACTCAGCCTCTTAAGTAGCTAGGATTACAGGAGTGAGCTAATAGTGCCTACCAAGTCCTTTTCTAAATGATGAGATTTCAAAGAAATAAAAAAAATTCAAATCTGAAATTCTAAGCAGTTCATTTAACAGAATAAATTTAGAGACTAAAACAATGCTATTTTTCCCCCCAAAGTTGAAAATGCACAAAAGCATGAACATTCTTGGATCTCTGAAAGCATGTATTCTCTGATTTAACTCAGGCCATGATTTTCCCACTGCCCACTCTTGACACTATCATATCTGATCCCTCCTTCCCCATCATCCTGACACACACACAGCCTATCAAGATTCCAGTTGCCTGTCATATGATTGGTTTTTTTCCTCCAAAAAAGTCTAGTTGTTAAGTTTCTGTGCTCACCAGGTACAGAACTATCCAGAACACTGTATCATAATCACACAAACACACACAACACACACACACACACACAACACACACACACACACACACACACACACAGACGAAACTAGCACCAAAATAGCAATGGGTGAAGAATCCTGAATACCAAAGCTGAAGTGTGTGAAGACTCACACTGGTGAGGTGAAAAGGGCATACTTATATTCTGCACATATGCATGGTAATTTATATTCCAGCTTCCACATGCCCAAAAATGTATGCCTGCAGTTTCCCTAATGTACAGGAGACTCAACAGTTCCAAGTTCTGATTCTTCCTGCATTAAGACCCCAAACCCTTCTATTTCTTTTTGTTGGGTGTGGGGGGGGAACGCAGAACTGGGATTTGTACTTATGGTCTTGCAATGGCTAGGTAAGCATGCTACCACATGAGCCACAAACTCAGTCCTTTCTTGTTTGAGTGGCTGGGGTTATACACCTGTGCTATCACGCCTGTAATACTTAATGATGTTATATTTCCAATGATCACTCTTAAGCCATTGGCAACTTTACCTTTAGTGTTCTCAGTTTGAAAGTCCAGCTTTAGCTAACTTCTAGAAATAAAACCTACAAAGGACAACTGCCCTTCCCTCTACCATGACAATTGCAACAAAAGCTGACAGATGACCTTAAGAAAGGGGACCCCAAAGAGCACACTTCCTAAGCTTCCAGGTTAAATAGTTTGAAGATGATGAGATGCCATTAGGAGAAGAAATGGAAAAAAAGCTCTGACTTCATTCATTGTAATGGAATAAACTAGGGTCTGTTGGATAATCATATCACTTAGTAGGAAATATCTATGCGTTCTTTGTTGGGAGAGGAAAATGGGAGACTAACTGAATTTTGAAACAACTTCTCATTCAGAGTCACTGATGAAATTCTAGATGGGATTTTAGAAGGTAAAAATATGAAAACCTGGTATGGCCAGTCTGGGTGTGACTCAAAGGCTTATCCTTATCACACAATACTTCAGTGTCTTAGCATCCCTCTGATGATCTGGCCTACATGTAAGGCCTGTCTCCTACAGCTGCAGACCCAGTTTATTCAGCTCAGCTTTTTTTCTGCCAGTTTATTTCCTCCTAAGTGAAATCCCAGCTTTTCAGATACCCCAAGTGCCACAATATGGACTCCACGCCACTCTGGGCAATCGATATGTAACTTTTAACACATGGTTCTAGTTTTCAGGAAAAAAAAAAGGAAACAAAAATGAAAAGCTAATGATAGGTCACGAGAGAGAAGGAATGAGAGGCCATCTACTCATTTACCTTGATCATTAGGCATTTTATCAGAGGAGTCCGCTAACCAGCCAAGCACGGGGGAAGAAAAAACAAGAGCAAGGATCACAAGCTTTGAAGATGGGACAGACAGAGTTTTAAAGGAAAAAAAATTAAATCCCCATAAGCTTCCAAACAAATTGAATTTTGCTTTTATAGTACCAACAGAAAAGAAATGCAGGTTTCCACAATTCCATAGACACGGTCCCCAACTAAACTTTATTAGTCTAGCCTTGCTTGGTTCAATACTTTAGTTTCTTTGCCTTGAGTTTTAGAGAAAAGGCCCTCTTAGTCTCTTATTCTCTACAAAGATTCACCTATAAGCTTACGTAACAAAGCCTGTTAAAAGAGAACCATCTATCAAAATAACATGCTTATTACTCTGTGTGGTAACCAAAAGAACCTATCTGATTTGCCTGATAAAACCTTTTAGATCACTGCGATTGGTTTATAGCCCAAAGCCCAAGTGTTCTTGTATGTGCTGCGGTTAGGCCGGTCACCCAGGGAACACCGATTTGGTGCTGGGTGGGGAGGTGAGGGATCATCACTAGGACATCTTATACTACCTGTAGGTTCTATATGCTAAGGAGATACAAAATCCAACCTTCTGCTTGGGAAGCTTTACCTTTTGGCGTTCTGAATTGGACAGCTTCAGACATGGGCCCCATGCCTTTTGAGTTTCGGGCCTGGATCTTGAAGTAGTATGGTGTATCAAGTGTTAGCTCCTGAATCTGGTGAGTCAGTCTGTTTCCCACAACAGGCTCAATAACCCAGTCATGTATCTCTGCATTCACGTCTGTACTGTAATAGATGATGTAACCTGTCCAAAGGAGCAATGGGAACAACAATCTCACTCCTGCTTTTCTGTTTGTAACCAGGGTAAATACAGGCATATGATGTTTATTCACAGTAGTTGAATAATGCTTCTCCAGAGCCTACAGTGTAAAATTCTGAAACCCAGTAGTGGCCTGCCATACTGTTTTAGCTCTTATCACAGGAAAAAAAATACAGGGCAGATGCACAGCAACCTGATAAAATTCTCTCAGACATAGGATGGGCGAAGCCTCAATGCAGTGTCACTGGATATGTCCACCAGGGGGCACTCAGTCTCCACTGATCAGTTGGGAAGCCTCTGTGACTCAAGCCTAACAGTGCTAACACATGCCGCGTTGTTTCTGTTTTTAAATGACAAAGGAAAACAAAATCCAGGTCAAGTTATGCCTGAGCATTTTACAGAAGAGGCAAAGTCAGACCTGAGGAAATGCTATGGTGCCCAGGCTTCCCGCGGAAAGGAGGACAGCACTGTGATGCTGTTTCCTCGGGCCAGTTCCTCAGTACACTCCTTCCCAGAGCCGGGCTCCAGAGGGAAGCTGCCATCTCCTCAGCCTCCCCCCCCCCCCCCCCCCGCAAGGCGGAGGAGGCCACTGCTCCTGCTAATACAGGAAGTTCAAGGAAAAGTCCCAGGTCCCTTGGAATAGCCATTGCAATGAAGGCTTTTAAGTAGTTGTGAGAGCCCAGAATCCCAAAGGAGGGGACCTGGAGGTGAGTCAGGGTTGGAATTAAAAGCCAAAATGGGCTTTTTTTTGGGGGGGAGGCAGCTTTCAGGCAAAATGACAGAATTGGTATTTATTGGGTAGTGCCTGGCAGAATTATGTTGGACATGCAATTCCAAAGCTGGTCACTGACATGTTGAACAGCTTTCCCAAGGAACACAACTGAATGGCTCTCATGGCGTCCCAATAAGCCGAGGCTGTGCAGTGCGCAGTCCCACCAGATCTGCAGGCAGTGGCGCAACCATCAGCAGGCCCACTCTGCATCACGGAGGGCATGTAGTTCATCCTCATGCCAACCCAGAGGACCATTAGGACCCACACCACAGCAGAATAACCACAGCAGCCCTCAGGCTCCCCTGTTCAGCACCCGCCTGGCACAGAGCACAAAGGGGCAATCCGCGCAGCTTACCTGTGATTTTGCCATTGGCCTCAGAGGGAGGCTGCCAGTTCACAATTATGGTTCTGGGTTTCCCTTCTTTACTCACAACAGTCACATCCTTAGGTGGAGAAGTGGGAACTACGAAATAACAATCATTCCATCATTCCCATCCATCAGGACAACTCACCGCTTTCTCTACTATTTTCATTTGTAAGACATAATAAAACAACCAGGACTGCCCCCCCACCCCCCAAAAAAGGCAGAAGAAGAAGGAGGAGGAGGAGGAGGAGGAAGAGGAGGAAGAACGAAGAAGGAAGAAGGAAGAAGAAGAAGGAAGAAGAAGAAGAAGAAGAAGAAGAAAGAAAGAAGAAAGAAGAAGAAAGAAGCAGCAGCAGCAGCAGCAGCAAACAGAAAATAGCATGGTGTGAGGATACAGAACCGTCATCTTGGCTGGCCATCAGGTATACAGGGTAGTTGGGAAAATCAACTCACGCCGCTGCCAAGTAACTACCCCTACGCCAAGCACTGTAAAAACAATACCTTCCTCATGTATGTGACAGTCTGGACAGGTGGCTATCACTGTCCTTGCTTTCTAGGTCAGGACACTAAAAATGAGACATGATGTGATTTGCTAAGATGACTTTCTCTCAATCTAGATTTGCTTGGAATGTTTTTAAGTATAGAACACTTTTCCCTCTTACTTCTAGCTGGCTCTTTAAATGAAGCATGGCTTTTAAAAGCTCAATTCCTGAAACGAATGATTTGCAAATGGACAGTCTTTTCATTTTAAACTTACACTTATAGCATGCTGTCACCTACTAAGGTTACTGCTCTGAAGAAAAGCTACACACAAATACAATGAAAGGAACAGTTTCTACTGCAAAATACTTTTAATGTACTATCAGGGAAATGTACAAGCCAAGTAAACCCTCAAATATACTCTTTTCTTTCTAAAATACTGGAGTTCTAGTGGGAGTTGGAAAGAAACCCAGTAAAAAGCTAACATCCTAAGGGAAAATACAAGTTTCATTTATTAGTTAATAAGTTGGAATTAAAGCAAAAAGACATTCCTTTTTTTGGGGGTGGGGGGAGGGTGTCAGTTGCGGAGCTTGAACTCTGGGCCTGGGCGTTGTCCTTGAGCTCTTCAGCTCAAGGTTAGCGCTCTACCACTTGAGCCACAGCACCCACTTCCAGCTTTTTCTGTGCATATGGTGCTGAGGAATTGAACCCATGGCCTCATGCATGTGAGGCAAGCATTCTACCACTGAGCCACCTTCCTAGCCTGCAAAAAGACATTCTTAAGACACTGGCACAGGAAGCAAACTGAAGGTCCATTTACTCTGTATGTATTACATTTCTAACTTTCCAAATCCCCCTTTTCTGCAGAAACTCCAACCAACAGTGCAGAAGGCCCAAGTCAGTTGGTGTAGAGTGTGCATGCTCATCTTTTTATTATTCATAAGTCACAGTAGGCCAGGATGACTAGAACCTCCTGCTAGCAAAGAGCAAGGTGAGTGAAGATAGGCCTAAACGTGAGTGAAAAGCAAGCAGGCTAAACCTCCATGACTCCACTCTCGTAATTTGATTAGTTATCTTTTCTCTCTCACGTCCACTTACAAACAAAAATTCAAAGGATGTTTCAGTGAAAGTTTTTTTCTTTTAACAAAGACTGTTTTCCCAAGAAAACCTTGGGGTGCAGCTTTGGTGTCACCCAGTAAAGTGTTCCAGCTGCAGCAAGCATGACTGGCTAAGTGGTTGGTCAAGGGCAGGTCACTTCATTTTTTTTCAATCTCAATTTCCCAGTAAAGAAGGATTAATGCCAATAATCTTCCACATCCAACCCATGCTACATATCGCACCACATGCTCTCCCATCTGCTCCTCATTTTATTTACAATAGCCCTGTAAAGTGAAAGGCAGTAATTATTACTCCTCACAGGATGCAAGAAGCTAAGATGCAGAGACAGGATGATCTGCTTGTGAACGCTGCCAGTAGAGGATTGATCATCTTAGACTGAAGTCAAACCTCTGGAGTCCTAAAATTGCACTACCTGCTCTGTGCTAAGTAGTAGCTGATATAGCGAACACATCTCCAAATGTAACGGTCTGGTAACCATCATTTCACACACTCATTTCTCTTCGTGGTGATTAAAAGCAGGGAGAGAGGAGCTTCATAACTTGGAATGTGGCACATAAGCAGGAACTTCCACTGATTTTCATACTTTGCAAAGAGAAGAAATGCCGTTCTATACAGGTTCCAACAACACATACCTAATTCAAAGGTGGTCCCATGGGCTGTCATACTCCAGGTGCTTGATCTTCGACCTTTGGTCACCATCACAGAGAATTCATAGAGTGTATTTGGTTTTAAACCAGTCACCAAATAACTCAAAGTTGTTGCATTTGCATTCTGGAAAAAGATGAATCAAGAATTTTAGAACCAGAAAACATCAACAAGCAGCTGTTTTCAGCCAGAGTAAATGTGTGGATACCTTGTACTTGGTGTTGGCGGGGATGTTAGTTTTCCATCGGACTGTGTAGTACCGGGAGTCTGTGATCTTCTGGTGTTTGGGCAGAGAGTTGTCTGCCCACGTGATCCTTATGGTGTCATGGCTCAGAATGGAAGCCTGAACTCCCACGGGTGGCATCATGGGAGTGGGATCTGGCACTGGAGTGTATGGAGCATTAATAACAAACAAATCAACTTCAGAAGTGTCTGGGCAAAAAGTAATTTAAAAAGGGAAATGGCATTTAAACATAAACAAAAATAAAAGGGAAATGCAGGGTAATATAATGAAATGAGAGATGAGAAATGGAGAAAAAGAAAGAAAATCACAGTTAATAGATAACATTCATTTTAAAAAAAGAGTATTTCTACTTGTGTTCTTTCAGGAAGAAATTATAGAGGAATGTTGAACAAAGCAGTAATTCTATGGGCACACTAAAATGTGATAATTTAGTGTTATGTTAGTATAGACATGCTGGAATTTTCTTAAAATTACTTGAAATTCAAACTCCTATTCAAAAAGGATCATGAAAATACAAAAACTTTTATTTATTTATTCATCATTTATTTTTCTGTTGGTCGTGGGGCTTGAACTCTGGGCCTGGGTGCTGTCTCTGAGCTCTTCGGCTCAAGGTGAGCATTCTACTGCTTGAATCACAGCGTCACTTCCAGCTTTTTCTGTCTAAGTGGTACTGAGGAATTGAACCCGGGGCTTCATGCATGCTAGGCAAGCACTCTACCACTAGGCCACATCCCCAGAAACCTTTTTTTTTTTTTTTTTAAAATAAAACCAGGGTACTATTTCTGAACAAGCAACCCAAAGCTCATGGCCTGTTTTGAGCTTTCAGTGGATGTGGCTCAGTTTCTGGGACCTGAGTCACTAGTGATTCTCCCTGGGTATGTAACGATTCTTCTCTTCATAACAGCCAGTGGTCCAGGCTCAGATAGGCAAGTAAACCCAAAGGACCTCATAGCAGCCTTCCCTCAGAAGGAGAGCTGCCACAGGCTAGACTAGTGGCACTTTCTCCAGCTGAGTTAGGGAACACAGTGGCAGGTTCCTATCAGTTATGGCAATGCTATAGTCCTCAATACCATAGTCTATGCTCGTGTGTGTGGTGCTGCCCTACCCAAAAGACACATTCTCAAAGAGTTACTGCAACACTGAAGCTGGATCATGTACAAAAGGAGAAGAATGTGCTTGGCTTCAGGAGACCATGGGAGCATCTGTTTGGAGCCTGAGAGTTTGGCTCTCCAAACTCCTGGTTAGGTTTCCTAAGTACACCTATGCTCTTTCATTTTAAAACTTTTAGGTGTTAGAAGAGGTGCCCCATACAGTTATGGTGACTGGCCCATCCTGCAAGTCAAAATCTGATAAGCCTTGCTTATGAAAAAACTGCTATTCTAAAGTAAGAGTCTATATGTGTGTTATTTCCTGCAAAATGAGGACTAAAAATAACAGAGAAGTAGAACACATAATCAAGGCCTTTGTTCGAAGACTGGTAGGGCACATACTAATTAGTTTTAGAAAAATGTAATTCCAGGTGCACAATTCTTTCATATGTGTACCAATTCTTGGAAAAGGTACCCAGTGTATATGAATGAGATTACAAGAAACATCTTCCTTGTATATTTCTAGCCAGTAGACTACATTCTTAAACCACATAGAGGAAAACAAATTCAATTTTGTTTTTATAACCCAACTTTAAAAAGTAAGGCCTCCCTTCACCCCCTTTTCTGGGATACAAAACCTATTTCTGGAAGAACTTACAGGCACATAGAAGAAGATAGAATAGAACTATAAACCATGCAGCAGCCAGGCACCCATGGCTCACACATGTAAATCCCAGTTACTCAGGAGGCTGAGATCTAAGAATCATGGTTCAAAGCCAGCCCAGGCAGAGAAGTCCCCACAGGACTCTTATCTCCAATTAACCACTCAAAAACCAGAAGTGAAGCTGTGGCTCAAAGTAGTAGAGCACTAGAGCGTTGAGCAAAAGAGCTCAGGGACAGCATCCAGGCCCTGAGTTCAAGGCCCATAACCGACCAAAATAAAACAACAAAACCCCACAACAAAAAGCATGTAGTAATGATTAAAAATAGGAGCTTTAAACAAAAGGGGGAGGACATTATTATCTTGGCAAGAATACTGCCAAGTCTGTATGATTATGCAGAACACCTGGAATACACAACAGACAAAACTGTCTCAAACTTGTGTGCAATCAATGGAAAAGAGGCATTTCTGAAACATTCTTTGGTTTTCATGGCTCTTTAAAAATATTTAGGCTGGGTGCCAGTGGCTCATACCTATAATCCTAACTATATGGGAGGCTAAAATTTGAGGATTGTAGTTTGAAGCCAGCCCCAGCAAGAAAGTCTATGAGACTCTTTATTTCCAGTTAACCACTAAAAAACTGGAAGAGGCTGTGGCTCAAGTAGCAGGGTGCTGGCTTTAATCAAAAAAGCTTAGGAACAAAGCCTAGGCCCTGAGTTAAGGCTCTAGAACTGGCACAAAAATAAATACATATAATAAAGCTCCAAAAAACTTTCTCATGCAAATTTAAGTTAGAGATTTCATACCACTGTAGAAAATTTAATTACTTTGTCTTAGAAATATTTAAAATAGATAATTCAAAGAAAACAAAGTGAACTTTTGATCATTAATAAATGTATAAAATAGATAATGCTTTTGTCTCTATAATGTTCATTAATATGTGAGATTTATTAAAGACATAGAAAAGTACTTTTCAAACCTACTCAGGTGACAGTATAGCATCTGTTAAATTCACCAAGACACACTGCCACAATGAATAACCAATATAATTCCTCTGGAGATAAAGAACTTTTATTTTCTGACTCATTTAGTTATATCCGGACAATGAAAAATCATTCCTTTGTATTTATTTTGTATTACTAGGATTTGAACTCAGGGCTTTTGCCTGCTATGCAAGCTATCTCGTAAGCTACACCTTTAGTCCTTTTACATTAGTTATTTTTCAAATTGGGTCTCATATTTTTGTTCTAGCCGATGTGGCCGGCAAACTTCTTTTTACACTTTCCTAGTAAGTTGGAATAACAAGTGTACTCTACCGTCCCCCGCTGTTTTAATATCCCACTGTTTTACTGAGATGGGGGTCTCTCAAACATTTTTCCTTGGCTATCCTTGAACTGTGATACTCCTAATTTCCACTTCCTGTGCAGCTAGAATTGTAAGTATGAGCCACTAAGCCTGATCTGAAAAATCACTTTTAATTCTCTCCAAATACTGCTTTCTAAGAGCCTGACACATGGAAATGTATATATATCCATATATCTATATATATCCATATATAGATATATATGGATATATATACATTTCCATATATATATCATATATATATTTCCAAAAACAGCTTTCATGACCAGGTTTAATATTTTTCAACAAGCAAAACCAAGATTAGGAGGATTTTTCTTATTCATTGTAGCACCTAAAATATGCACTAGAAATTGCCACCTACATTTCCTTCACAGCCATGTACAGGCAGGCCTCATGCCAACATTCTACATGGCTGCTGGGAAAGGGCTGTTGATGAGACAGCCAGGAGCCTACCTGTGTGAGGCCTGGTCACTGCGCTCTCGTACAGTGGGACGCCTTCGCCGACGCTGTTGAATGCTCTCAGGGTAATCACATAATGAGAACTCGGATCTGAGGGAAAAAAGTCCAAACAACCATAGACAAATCCTTGCTACAGAGTTTAAAACTTCAAGGGTGACTATGTATAATCTTAACTGGAGATTCTATTTTTATAGATGGGGTTGTTCTGGGGCATCAGGAGATGGGGCGATAGAAACACACATAGTACAAAAGACCTGGTGGATCACCTTCCTGGATTTAGTGTCAAGAGTGGAGGAGCCCTGTGCTTCCTTTCCTGGCCTTTCCCACAGTCCACCTGTTTACTCTCTTAGCACTCACAGAGTCTCTTCTCAACTATGCTGTAAGAACTATTCTGGCTCAGTCTTTCAAGCCCAGGGGAGTTTCTTCTTGGACTGCTCTTCTGTGCCTTGCTAGCTCTTCCTCCTCTAAATGTACTTCAACTCACTTCACCATTTCTTGTGTTTCCCTTTTGTTCTCGTTAGACTGAAAGCACCTGATGGTCAGGGTCCAAGTCCTGAATGCGCTGCGAAGGATTTTTATTTCAGTAATCTCATGAACAGTAGGAGGCTAGTAATCACAGGGACATTTTTACACCACAGCAAAACTCTATTTTTGCTCTCCAATAATTGCCCTAGACAACTGCGTAGGTGAGAAAGATTCAGGAGGTTAGCTGTGCTGTCAACTTTTGACTGGACTTAAATTGCGCTTCTTTTCTACGAGAAAAGTCATTCTTAAGGAAGATTCTACCAAGCAATGATTTGGATAAACAGTTTATCAGGGCATATTCAGAACCAAAAGTTAAGTTGTATCCTGTACCTAACTACTCAGGAGGCTGAGGATCTGAGGATCCAGGTTCAAAGCCAGCCTGGGCAGGAAAGTCTGTGAGACTCCTATTAACAAATAGAAAACTGGAAGTGGCACTGTGACTCAAAGTGGTAGGGCACTAGCCTTGAGCAAGAGCTCAGGGAAAGCACCCAAACTAGATCAAGTCCCATGGTTGATTAAAAAAAAAGGTAAGGGGCTGGGAAGGTGGCTCAGTGGTAGAGTGCTTGCCTTGCATGCATGAGGCCCTGGGTTCGATTCCTCAGCACCACATAAGCAGAAAAAAAAAAGCCAGAAGTGGTGCTGTGGCTCAAGTGGTAGAGTGCTAGCCTTGAGCTGAAGAGCTGAGGGACAGCGCCCAGGCCCAGAGCTCAGGCCCCAAACTGGAAAAAAAAAAAAAAAAAAAAAGGTAAGTCTTACAAAAAAAGATGATGATAATTCAGTTTGTAAAAGTATCATGCCCAAATCAAATTCTTTATATCTTCTTTGCAAAGTATCCAAAATTTCTGCTCATTCTATCTAAGTTTTAAGAATGTTTAAATATATGTTTATATATTCTTTGTCAGATATTTGAATAGAAGATATTTCCTCCAAGTCTGTTCTTGTCTTTTTATTTTACTGATCTTCCCAAAAGTAGTTTAAAGTAAAAACTTTAAAATTTTGATGAAATCTATTTTTGTAATTTCTGCCTCTTTTTCTTTTCTCTTGGTTGTGAGGCTTGAACTCTGGGCCTGGGCACTGTCCCTGAGCTCTTCAGCTCAAGGGTAGCGCTTTACCACTTGAGCCACAGTATCACTTTCGGTTTTCTGGTGGACAAAGAAGTCTCATGGACTTTCCTGGCTTTGAACTGTGATCCTTAGATCTCAGCCTCCTGAGTAGCTAGGATTACAGGCATGAGCCACTGGTGCCCAGCTAATGCCTTTTTGTATCCTAAAAGGTCTTTGCTTACCCCAAGGTCATGGAGATTTATTTTCTGTTTTGTTTTCTTCTAGAAAAGCAACAGTACAGTTTTGGTTCTACATTAAAGTCTGAGTTTTTTTTGTTTTTGTTTTTGGTCGTGGGGCCTGAATTCTGGGCCTGGGCACTGTCCCTCAGCTCTTCAGCTCAAGGCTAGTGCTCTACCACTTGAGCCACAGCACCACTTCTGGCTTTTTCTGGTTATGTGGCACTGTAGAATCAAACCCAGGGCCTCATGCATGCAATGCAAGCGCTCTACCACTGAGCCACCTTCCCAGCCCCTAAAGCCTGTGTTTGTGTATGTTAGGGTAAGGTTGAAGGTCCCTTCTTTTTTTCATATAGACATTCAATGACTCCCACACCATTTGTTAAGAAGATATCCTCTCCTTACTGAATTATCTCAGTACCTTTCTGAAAAATCAATCGACATAGCCAGGCTCCAGTGGCTCATGTCTATACTCCTAGCTACTCGGAAGGCTGATGAGCCTGTAATCCCAGCTACTGTGAAAGCTGAGATCTGAGGATGACCAAAGTTCAGAGCCAGCCTGGACAGGAAGGTCCATGAGACTCTTTTCTCCAACTGATCACCAAAAAGACAGAAGTGGAGCTGTGGCTTGAGTGGTAAGAGTGTTAGCCTTGAGCAAAAAAAAAACCTCATGGACAGCACTTAGGCCCCGAGTCCAAGTCCTAGGACCAGTACAAAAAAAATTGGCCATATATGTATGGATCTATTTCTGACTATTAATCTATATATAACTTAATCTGTAACTTATGATCTTGCTTATTAGCTCACTTATGGCTTTAATAGCTTTTCTATAGATTCCTCAGAATTCTCTACCTCAATAACAGGAAGTACGTGCAATGCTCAGGTATTTCTTTTAAATGCCATTTTTTCATAAAAGAAACCAGAGTTCCTTGGATAAATGGCAGATTCAATGATGGAGACTGGGAAAATACCAAAGAAACCTGGAGCATCTATCTCACTGTCTCAACAGGGAAGGGAATGATGAAGATATCAAATGACACAGGCACCAGTGGCTGAGCACTTTCTCCCATCCAAATACAAATCAGGACTGCTTCTGCTTAGCTTCTGAGCTCAGATGAGATCAGGAGTGTTCAGGCTGGTATGGTCATGAACTAGCCGTTCATTTTCTATGGGGCCAAAGAAGGCTTTTTCTTATTTGTGAAATTCTAATAAACAAAGGAGAAGTGTGGAACTAGACAACCACATCTGGGGAAATTAGAGTGACAATTGTTACCACATAGACAAAAACGAGAGCATTTGATGAAACTCAAGGTATCTCCACTGCAAAGAAATCATTAATTACAAAGAAAAGCAATAATTTTCTAGTGAGAATATGTGACAAATACCATCTTAACCAAGTGATTACAGTTGACATCACTAGTAAGAGACCATCATGTGCTTCTGGTAGGACATGCTGATGAGAACCTCCTTTGAATCATCCAGGGAGCATGTAACCTCAATGTAACAAGGAACGATGGACAAATCCAAACTGAGGAAATTCTATAGAGAATAAACAAGCTCTATGTTTCAAAAACATGAGTCATGGGGCTGGGAAGGTGGCTCAGTGGTAGAACGCTTGCCTTGCATGCATGAGGCCCTAGGTTTGGTTCCTCAGCACCACATAAGCAAAAAGAAAAAAGCCAGAAGTGGCTCTGTGGCTCAAGTGGTAGAGCGCTAGCCTTGAGCTGAAGAGCTGAGGGATAGCACCCAGGCCCAGAGTTCCGGCCCCACGACCGGACCCCCCCCCCCAAAAAAAAGTGAGCCATTAAAATCTAGAAAAAAACAAAAAGAGGACTAGTCCTAGCAAAGAAGAGACATGGTAACTCAATGTAACATGTGATCCTGGACTTAGAAAACAGTTTTTCTAGTCCATTCCTGCAAAAGTGCCAAATATGAATGAATTCTCTAGGCAATATTAGTGTTCTGATTCTGTTAGCTGTGTTTATGTCAGAACAATTTCTGAGAATGCTGAATTTCATTATTAACAGGAGCATCATCATGTCTACAACTTACTTTTAAGTGTTCGGGGGAGGGGTGTGTGTGGAAGAGAAGGAAATATGTACATATAGCAAGACAGAGAAAGTTAAAGCAAACGTGGTTAAATGTTTAGCTTGGCAAATCCGGGTAAAGAATGTATAGGAATGCTCTGAACACATTATGTTATTTTTCTATAGAAATAAAATTGTTGCATAACAGATAGAAGAAATCACATATACAATTATTTCCTTTACTTGGCAAACATACCCAAATTTTCAATGGTGTAATAGCGCTGTTTATAGTCCACTTTGATAGTCTGGGCATGAGGGCTGCCAATGCCATAACCAATGGCATAGCCTCGAACCACAATGTTCTGATTCTCTGGAGGAGTCCAGCTTACTACAATACTGGTGACAAGTGGGCGAACGTGAAGAGAGCTAGGCACTTCAGGAACCCGAGTTTCTGGGAAGAAAAGTAGAAAAGTAAAATGATATCGACTTTCCTTTAGAGTATTTCACCACCCTTGGGAAATAATGTTCAGCCTTCTACCAAACTATTTGGGGCTAGATTACTTACTATTTGGCCAGAGTTCAAAAAGAACCTGTGTATATATCGTAATATAAGGCCCATGGTAGAAAACAAAGTCCAAACAAACTTAAATATGAGACATTGCAATATTTGGAAGAGAAGAGATCCAGAACCTCTGCCTAATGGAGTAAAATAACTCAGAAAAAATGAAGTGTGAGAATCACAACTAATTCAGTTAGCCGAAGACAAAGAGACTGGTGGCTCAGGCCTGTAATCCTAGCTACTCAGGAGGCTGAGATTTGAGGATTCTGGTTCAAAGCCAGCATGGGCAGAAAATTTTATGAGCCTCTTATCTCCAATTAATCACCAAAAAAGCTAGACATGGAGCTGTGGCTTGAGTGGTACAGCTCCAGCCCTGGCCAAATGAAAAGTCAGGTCCTGAGTTCAAGCCCAGTACTGACATAAAAAAAGTGAGCAAACTTTATAGTATCTTTCACCGACATTACTTCAAATCATACTTTACTATCTTTACTTGAACCAAAGGTTTTTTGTTGCCCAAATCTGGTACCTGTCACTAATAAAGGTACTAATGACATATTCTCACAGAAGTTACTCACTGACTCAACACCGAGCAAAAGGAAAAAGGGCTTTCAGGAGTAAGGCAAAGGAAACTGCAACGAAAATAAACACATAACTGATATGGCTTGATCTTCATGTTGTATCATCCAACTACTTAATGGCCTGGGTAAAACAAAACTGCATTAAAAATATCTGCACATTTTCATTCTCATTTGTTTTGGCTCTGCTTAAAGAGGCGCACTTCTCTAAAAACCACTGCAAAGAAATCGATCTCAGGAAACTTTGTGCTTTGTGGGAATGCCAGCAGTGTAATACACTAAAGTTGAGGGATTTAAGCCAATGACTGTGGCCTTCCAGGCTGATCACTGACGACAGTTAGTTTCTATCCTGCCAAGTCCTGACAAGTATGTGTTCTTACCATCTAAGTCACTTTCAAAAGTTTCAGCAGACAGCCAGTCAGTTGCTGGGCCTGTACCATTGACTGTGAGAGCAGCCACTCGAAAATTATACTCGGTCCCCCGATCGAGACCTGAGACCCAAAAGACAAAAGAACACGAGTGGAAATGAGTTTGGGGAAACATGAAATTCATAAGCTGTTAAAGCAAATATCCCATCCCTCAAATTAGTTCATAGCTTGACAAAGTTTACTCTATAAACAATGTTTCAAACTACCAGCTATAAACAAACAAGCTCTGGGTCCGAGTTCTAGCCACAGTACAAGGAGTGGAGGGGAGCAAAATAAATACAGAACAAAGTAGCTACTCCAATCAAAGACAGACATATATTGAGAATGTGAATAACTTGGCCAAAATGCAAGAATGTAAGGTACACTCTGGCTCAGTTACCCAATTAATATAGGATGTGCACAAGATGGGAGGTTCTGTTCTCTACAGGTGTATCCTGAATCTGAATCTGTTTTCACACAGGAAAACAAGGACAGAAAGACGATTAAAATGTCTGGGCACAAGTCAGTTTATCTCACTATCTTGACTGTGTACATACTAAACTAAACATTTTTAACTGTGAACAATCACTACATTAGTATCATGAAAGAAATAATCAGCAAGTTCTATTATTATTCTTCGCACTTTGAGGGAGAGTTACAATGACTGAGAGAACTAAGAAGACAGAGGCATGTTCCCAACATCCAAAGGATGGAAAGCATTTAATCTGCATGTTAACCTGGATATATAATGATGAACAAAAATGGAGATCCAGGAAAACAAAGATACTTGCTCTCTTGAAGCATTAACTTGAAACTTGTAAGTACTAGGGAACAAAATAGCTAAGAGTTCTTCTCCCTCTAAGTAACTAACAGGATTCATAAACCATAACTAAGATACATAATACATGCTAAAAAGATATAAAGCAAGATGTGTTAAGTACCATAAAACTGCTCTGGCTACAACTTAACCATGTAATTTATTTAGTTCAGAGTCTCCTGCAAAGAAACCTTACCCTTGCTTAGTTCAGACTCCATTCCCTATCTGTGGCAGAAAGAGTAGAATTCCTCATGACTTATAAGATGAACCTTATTAAATATGCACTTGGGCCCATTTTTACCAGGTGAGCTACTTGTTCTGTGGCACACTAAAGGAAAACTATACAAAAGGAACTATCCCTGATAGAACTTTCTAAAATTTCATAATATCTACAGTCACAAATGTAATTAGTTATTCACAAATATTCCTGAAGGCCACATATACACGAGTGGTATTAGTATTATAAAAGGCGTTGTAGGCCTGATACCTGCTAGAATGAGAGTAATTCCTTGTATATCTCTTTCACTTTCCTTGTACTACCACAAAACAAAATTAAAAACCACCAATATATAAACCCAGAAAACAATGTAAGGAAATAAAAAGCAAATATACTCTTACCCCTTAGAGTACTTTCCATTAATTTGTGTGAAGTTAGAAGTAGACTATTACAATATTTTGAGGGGGACTTTAAAAACTTTTGCTTATATAAGTTATCAGCTCAGAGGATCCCTCAGAGCATTAGAACTCAATGTCACAGCTTTGCTATGTGTGAAGTAGCTTGCCTTCAATCAGCTGAGACAGCTGGCTCCCAGGAACCAGGGTTTCGGTGACATCACTCTTGCGGGAGGCCTTTCGGTGGCGAATCTTGTAGCCAGTGATCTGCCCGTTTTGTGTAGCTGGAGAAGGTGGCTGCCAGTGAATCCTAATACTCTGGGAAAGACAGCAGTGAGGGAAGAGACTGAACACAGGGGAAGGCTGGCCCCAATTGCTGCTTTTTTTGTTTGTTTGGTTGTGGGGTCTGAACTCTGGGCCACAGTGCCCAGAGTGCCACTTCTGGCTTTTTCTGCTTATGTGGTGCTGAGGAATTGAACCCAGGGCCTCATGCATGGAAGGCAGCACTCTACCACTGAGACACCTTCCCAGCCCCACTGCATGTGTTCTTAACCCTGATTTCACCGGGTAGAGAAGGAACACACAGACAATAGGGTGCTTAAGAGTTTCACCAAGTAAATGCACAGTCACCCAAACTACTTTTTACTTTTGAAATTCCCAATGTTAAAGGGGAAGGTTATATTTTCAAGGAGTACTTTCTGGACCCCTGAGTCTCCTGTGCATTTTGTCAGAATTAAGATGTTGGTCAGAAATCCTAGAATCCACTGATCAGTGGCATGTGGATTAGGAAGTAAACTACTGTTAAGTCAACAATAAATGTATCCAAATTTTTAAAAAGTCTAACAATACTTTCCCATTATCAGTGCAAAACAGCCGAAATGGAGTAATTTCTACCTAAAACTCTTAATTAACAACTGGTGTGTACTGCAGAAGAAAATAAGCATCTCATCAGAATGAGTGACATCATCACAAAATTTTACCTTGGAATTTCTCACTTCTAAGGACACATTCTGAGGAGCAGCACTGGGAACTAGAGAAGCAAAAGAGAAGAATCAAAAGAAAATTAGTCACTCCCTAGCACCAATCACGTGACTGGTCTTGAGCACAGGTTATACCAGTACGTATCTCCCCCACCACACCCCCCAATTATGTGACCAGAAGGTCTCAATTCAAGCTGCCAGTGCCTTCCGTTGATGGCTCTAGGAGGGAGGAGGTGCTAAGGCACAGACGTATTTGAGTCATTTTAAAAAATAAAACACATTTATAGGAGCATACATCCCATGCTCATATTCATGTCAGGCAGTATCTCTGGGAAATCAGACACTTATTTCAATGATGAACTATGGATCTGAAGTTTGAGATTCTAAACTTTCCTAGACTCCAGATATATTCTAAACTTAGGCATGTTCTTCTGAATATTCATCCTGGGGGAGAGCCATACATTTTGTGGAACCAAGTCTAATGTATGTGGCAGATGACTGAACTGGATAATGACAATATGAACCAAAATAAGATGTACATAAATCAGTGAGCTTGGCTTTTTTTTTTTGTGAGGTTCTCTGACTACTTTTACAAGCTCTTCTCAGGAAGAGTGACAAAGTATTTAAACAGTCACAGTTTCAGTAAAGTGAACTTTCTGATTTCTAGAGGCAACTGTGTACCAGGGGACACTCACTTAAGATGTGAGAAGTTTGAGACTAGTTGTTAAACAACACAGAACATAACACAAGGGTATCTCAAAGTTCCTGATCCACACACTTTCCAACACCTGTCTCCCTTTGTGGTGATGACAGCAAGCAAAAGAAACTGAAGCAGGCCTGCCTAGCTTCCCTCCACTCACAAGATGCTCATTCTAGCCATTCTCTTCTAATACACACATATTAACTTCACTCTTCCTTTCTCTAACAACTGGTGTCCAGGTATCTAAGTGTCCTCTGTGCCTTGCTTGATATTGTAACTTGGCTAATGCATCACAGGGTCTACAGCAACATGCAGACCCAGTGTTATGAAAACCTTACATGCATTGTCCGTGTTAAGCCCTGACTTAGCTGCAGAAGCCCCAGAGCAGTTGTGAGGATGAGGACACGTCCTCATCGCCCTCCTCATGGCTAAGCGCTGCCACGTGCCTACCACATGGTGGGTCCCTGAACTTTAACAGCCATCTAACAAAGGGTTTCTACTATTTGGTTCTAATTTATAGGTGAAAAATCTACACATAGGTTAAGGGCAGCTAACATGCCCAAGGTATTTGTTTCAGCTGACATGAGAATGGAGATTTGCTTCAATCTAAAGTGCTGTCCAGCATGGCTCCATTCAATTCCCATTTAATGCAACTGAAACCTGGCTCACATATCCATTCAAAGGCCTATAATAAACACTTGTTTCTCATTTTTTCCCTAAAACTCTTGCCTAACTGGCTTAGGTAAAATCATAGCCAACCTTTTTAATCTTGAAAAATGTCAAACCCACAGAATTATAGCAAGGACAGTACAATGAACACTTTATATTCTTTTCCTAGTTTTGCCAGATACTAATATTCTGTAATGTCTCCTTTACTCTTCTCACTCTATACACATAGATCTGTAATCTACACACATAGCTGGTAAAGTAGGTGAAAATGGCTGTGGTCGCTGTGACAGTTCACTCCTGTGCTGTAGGAGGTACCTCCCTAGAACAAGGATGAGCTCCACCAACAATCCCACTTGGGAAATGGACCCTCAGCATGCAAACACTATCCGACAGACCTAACGTCATTACCTTAGCCTATACATTCCTAACAGAGTGTGTCAAGCGCCTTATATACCAGTTTTTACCTCCCATCATGGAGCAACCCAAAAATCATACATGTTTGACTCTATTTCATGTGTCTTTACTCTTCTTTAATCTAGATTGTTTTTCCTTCCATAAGATTAACAGAATATAAGTGTATAGGACAGCTTTTAAATTTGAAACATATATTTGTACTTCCATTAATATGTCTGGTTTTATCAAAATCAATCTGAGGTAAATATGGAGGTAAATGAGGAATATGGAGGGTAATGCTGGGCCTTTCTACATGTAGCATGTCAGAGTCACATGGTATCAGTCCGTTCCTTTTTTGGTGATGGTAAGTTTGATAATTTAAGGGAAGCAAACATTCATACATTCTTTAAAACACATACACACCTATTTTTAAGGCATTTTTAAAAATAAAATACTGAACTTAACTAATGTCCTCAGTGCAATGAATTAATATTTTCTGTTCTATTCTAAAATATATTTTTTAAAATTCTGATCTTGACCTAGTTACCCTCTTTGGCAAGCTAAGTTTGAAAAATACTAAGTCATAAGTACACATATGCAACTTAAGTTTATAATTCAGTCAGAGATGAGAAAGAACAGTGTCACACAATACTGATTAATTAAAAAGATCAATGTGGCAGGAAACCAAAGGAAGGGTAACACTGCCACCCAAAAGAAATTTACTCATTATCTGATTTCTGAAATGGTACTCCCTCTGTACACCTGAATAACAATAAAATTATTTTTAAAATGAATGTGGCAAGTAAACATGATTACTAAGTAAAGCTAAAGCTAAGCTTCCAACAGCCCTGAAACTGTGTTATGAACAGCAATGGTATTTACTCAAACTGATGATTCTGCTAAAACACAATCACTGAGACTTATTCAGTATCAGGCCATAGGTTTTATGTTTTCTAGATGAATCTTCATAGCAAACCAATGGCATTGGCTTACCTACACATTACACATAAGGTAACATGATCAGAAAAATCAGGTGACTTGATTGAAGTCTCCACTATCAGTAAGGAGTACAAATGGAATTTTAACTGAATACTCTTTACACCAAAGCCCAGGATCTTGCTATTATACCACTAGGGACACCAAGTATGGTATTTTGTTTCCAAGGAAAAAAGACTTACCATCTGACAGGGTCCGAATGGCAACATCCTGTGTGGAGACTCCAGGACCATGTTTATTGTAGGCCACTACCCGGAAACTATACTCCGTGTATTTTTTCAGCCCATTAATGGTGTAGGAGTGAGTTGAAACATCCACATCCTTGAATAACATACAATATTGTGTATATGCACAACTCAAGCCAAAAAAATGGCACAAAGTAATTTAATTGAATTCTACAGTACAGAATTTAACCTTCTTAAAAAATGGTATTAGTCATAGCAGATTAATCGTTGTGACAATTTATTTAGAAACATTTTCCTTCCATCCTTCCTTCTTTCCTTCCTTCCTTCTTTTTTTTTGCCAGTGCCAGTCCTGGGGCTTGGACTCAAGGCCTGGGTATTTTCCCTGAACTTTTTTTTTGCTCAAGGCTAGCATTTTACCACTTGAGCCACAGTGCCACTTCTGGCTCTTTCTGTTTATGTGGTACTCAGGCATCGGACCCAGGGCTCTTCATGCATGCTAGGCAAGCACTCTACCACTAAGCCACATTCCCAGCCCCTAGAAACATTTCTTGAGTGACCCTTGCTGGTAAAAACTACAGAATTTAAATCAAACCTGATACAACAAAACAGACTGTCAACTTTTATTTCCCATATATATATTTTTTTTATCATTTTCTCTCTGATTTCCAGTAAAGCAACTATTGCATTTTGGAACTATATTTCAACTATACTATCCCAGCCAATGGTTTATAACAAGGCCTCGTTTTGTACCTGCTCTTTATCAGTTCCTTTTTCCATGTAGTACAATTTGTAGTTCTGAATTTCCCCATTGCCTGACAGTGGTGTCTCCCACGTGATGGTGACAGAAGTAGGTGACGTGGTATAAGCTCGGATGTTAGGGGCTGGGCCAGGGAGCTGAACTGAAAAGAACATTTCAAGAGAGCAAGATGTAAATAAGACTTACTGCACTCCCTCCAAACCATTCTTAGCGATATTGTCATGCTTGCCTCATATTAGAAAATAAAACCTAGGAACAGAATTGATTTGATTCAAGTTGTGTTAGGCTGAATAAACTTTCCTTTTTGTAATTCAAATAAAAATCAGAATTTTTTTCTATTTATTCAAATTAAGAAAAATTACATAGGGGCTGGGAAGGTGGCTCAGTGGCAGAGTGTTTGCCTTGCATCACATAAGCAGAAAAAGCCGGAAGTGGTGCTGTGACTTATGGTAGAGTGCTAACCTTGAGCTGAAGGGCTGAGGGTCAGCACAGCCCAGAGTTCAGGCCCCACAACCAACAAAAAAATTACATAAAAACAACTTTCTATTGTTTATAAAATCCTACTTTAGCACTAGGACTAGACAGCAGATTAAACAACAACAACAACAATAACAAAAAAAAATAACAGCCTCAAGAAGAAACCCTTTGTCAGATGCTGTGGCAGGTTCTAGGGATGCAGTGACGGGCAGTCCCTGCCTTTGGGGGACTCCCAGTTCAGCAAGGAAGCTAGGCATCTGCATAGAGACAATGTTGTAAGTACTAACAGACTCTGGTCATGTAATGAGACAGGAGTACACGACTCTGCTGTGGGAGGGGTAGGACAGGAAGGAGAGCCTGATAGAACTTCTCAGTATCAAGAATGAGTAGCCTCCCCAGTCACCAAGGGGAAATTACTCCAGTCGATGGGAAAGACAGTCATGTGACTCAGTGTTTGAAACATGGAATGGACTGGTGCATGACCTTCTGAAGGATGGCTTGTGGTGGACAGACTAAATGATACGCCCTCTGCAATGGCTCACATACCCATCTTCACAGTATAATCTGTTTCTGACAGATTCTGGTTCCGTCCTGGGTAGCTGCCATGCCTACATTTTGGTAGACATCCTATATTTGAAAACAAATTTTCTGGCACTAGCATCTCTGTAATAGACACCCATTAGATTTAAGAGCTGGGAAGGGGAAAAATAACTAAATAAAACAAACTGGCTTTCTTGAATAACAGCATTATGACTTAAGATTTGTTTTGCTACCAAAGTGGAGAAACCTGAATATAGTTACTTTAACAGTTGTTTGCTTTATTTAGTAATGAATAATGTTATTCACTTAATGTTAAGAGCGTTTTTTGTACAGCCTGACAGGTGGCATTTGTCACACTTCTGCTGCTATGGAAAACTTTCCTTTAACTCAACTAAATGGGAAGGAAAACAAAGAGTTTCTAATCCCTCAAAATCACTTTCAGTATACTCACTGGCTAAGCTTAGAGAAACATAATCTGGAAAAAGGTATTAAATTAACTCTTTTAAAAAAATTTTTTTTTGGGTCCAGTCGTGGGGCCTGAACTCTGGGCCTGGGCGCTGTCCCTCAGCTCTTCAGCTCAAGGCGAGCGCTCTACCACTTGAGTCACAGCGCCACTTCCGGCATTTTTTCTTTTTGCTTATGTGGTGCTGAGGAATCGAACCCAGGGCCTCAGGCATGCAAGGCAAGCACTCTACCACTGAGCCACCTTCCCAGCCCCTAAATTAACTCTTTCATTCCAACTAGACAGCACCATAATAAGTAGGAAAAGTTCCAAGATTGTTTGGGAAGCTAAATATGCAAAAAATACTTTCCAGGGATTGATTCCAACATTTCTACCTCCCCTACTCAAGCTGAACATCTCCAGGCAAAGGGCAAGTCTCTCTGCACTCCCTGCTTCTCTTTTCCAAAACACCTGACAGTCTTTCTCCAACCCCCAAATAACCTCATCAGAACATGCCTGCCACCTATAATCTTACTTAACCAAATCCCTTAAGTGAACAACTGCACTGCTTACTTTAGTTGTGATGACAACACCACACATTATTGTGTATCTGTCTGTCTCTGGTTCCTTGTGGAAAGAAATCCAGGCTTATTCATCACCACACCTCGTCCATCTAACATAGCCACCAGCACACAGTGCGCATGTGATAATGCCACTCTTCCTTATAGCTGTTCTTTCATCTATAAATCTGACAATGACCCAGTTCAGTGATCTGAAATGATGATGAAAGTTGGGACTTTGCAAGGAAAGATGACTATAATCAGAAATGCAAATATTTTCATGTGGTTTCAGCAGGTCCACTGCCCTGGGATGGAATCTGGCCCTGGATCTGATCCAGTATACTGATTCTATTTCTGGGACTTGGGTCATGCAGTTTCTTTCCCCAGGAATGCTGGAATAAATCAAATACTTCAAGGCCAACTTCAGGCCTAACTGTTTTAGGTACTTATCATGACCTCCCTGTTTATACCTCCTTGTACTGATACCCACACTTAGAAGCTGTGACCTAGTACCTGAATTTAAAACGGAACGAAAAATTCTCACATTTGTCTGAACATAGGCTACGGAATCCACCATCCTTTTTCTGTGATGAGAATATTCTTTCCTGGAATCAGCCTCTTGGGTTCTTGCCTGGGTTTGATTCCTGATCTTCAATCTCTATCATGAAGCAACCAATAGCCTACTATCTTCTATTCATTGAAAAGAGATCAAATCTTACCATGCACATCCAGTATCTCTAACATCTTGCACAGTAACTGGCATACAAGGTACTCAAATGATTGGAGAGTGATTTGTTATAAATTAGAGTCCCAAAGTGCCCTCTGTTTTTGTTTTGCTTTCAAGTACTGGGGTTTGAGTCCAGGGCTTTATGCTGGGTAGGTAGCTGGCTCTACTACTAGAACACACCTTTAAACCCATCTCAGGGCTTCTTGACTTTATTCTACCAATAAGGAAAAGTTTCTGAATTAGTTCATAGTCTCACTGGTAGGTTCATTTGTTCTGTGTAGTTCTCAGGTCAGGAGTTTTCACACATGTATCATGCATGTTCCCTGCTTAAAACAACATCTTTATTACTGAGGTCTGTGAACACAGAAATCTAGTACAGTTAATAGTAAAAGCAGATTTCAGAACTTTCTAAAGAAAAAGTGCTGTGTGTGAAAAGGGCAAAGTTTAGAAGAAAGTCTCAAGTGGGAAAAATCATTATGACATTTTTTTTCTTACCATTTCAAGTCTATAATTTATAACCAAAAGTTAAGCTATATAGGGCATTTGTAAAATTAGCTAATCTGATACTCACCTCAGTCAGAGAAAACCTTAGAGATGTTAACTGGAAAAATATAGGTCTAAAATAAGGCTCTAAGAGAGCTTCCAGTGAGTGAAGTGCACATACCACAGGACGATCTAGCTAATGACTAAATAAATACCCACTTCATGTGCAAGGCCACTGAATCACACATTGTGGGAAATATCCTCAAAATAGACAAGATATATTCATATTCATGAATCAAAGACTAGAGTATCATTATGTATTTCAGAACTGTAGAGATATAAGAATATTTAGGATAGGAAGCAAGGTTCTAAAAGTAAATCTAAAAAGATCAGTACAAATGTGACTGTATACAACATTATAAATAGAACTATGTTTCAACTTAAAACTATTTGCTATAGTTCAATGGAAATTTATTTTGTTCTCTCTGCCTCATAAGGACTGGGCTGCAGATAGCTCAGTGGTAGAGCACTTGCCTAGCTAACATGCACAAAGCCCTGGGTTCCATCCCCAGCACTGCAAGAAAACACAGACCTTGAAGCCAATGGAACTGCTACCTTCCATTTCTCTATAGTATGTTCTAGCCTAAACATAGGTAGACTTTCTATAGGCCTCCCTCTGGTGGGCTGACAGACAAGCGGAAGACTCACCTTCAGGCTGTGTTTCTACTCGTAGTGGAGCTGAACTCTCTCCTGAGCCATGCTTATTTTGGGCCATAACTCTGAAGATGTATACAGTCGCTGGCATTAAGTTTTGAACGGTTACCTGCATCTCTCCTGGGTGACTGGTATTCTCAACACGCTCCCTTTGGAAAAAGAAACATTTGGAAAGACACAATATAAATTGTGAATATTTCTAGAATGTACAGTTTCCGTCTCTAGCTCATATCAAACCTACTAATTGAGGCTGGAGATATGGCTTGAGTGGTAAAGCACTAGTCATGAGCAAGAGAGGAGACCTGAGTTTAAGCCCATTACGGACAAACACCACTATAACCACAATCCTGTAATAATCTGAGACAAAGTTAGTTTTGAAAATGAAACACTTGGGGATTAAGAGTCTACAGTAGAATACAAAGACCTGACAAGTGGTGATATTCTTGCTTAAATATCATTAATGTTGTTCATTGTGAACAACATTATGTCTCCTCTTGGAGACATAGCTTTTAGCAATACCTCTTCCTCCCTCTCTTCTTCCCTCTCTCCCCTTTTTTCTTTTCTTTCTGTGCAGGTCCTGGGGCTTGAACTCAGAGCCTTGGGCTTTTTTGCTCAAAGCTTGGATTCTACCACATGAGCCACAGCTCTACTTCTGGCTTTTTGGTGGTTAATTGGAAGTAAGAGTCTCATGGACTTTCCTGCCCAGGCTGGCTTCAAACTACGATCCTCAGATCTCACTATCCTGAATAGTTAGGATTACAGGTGTGAGCTACTACCCAGCTGACCTTGGAGTTTTTGAAATCACTAAGAGATTGTCAGGAAAATGGAGTGAAAGTGATTATAAGTACCAGCTGATTTCCACAGAAATTATCAAGGAATCTTGACTATATCTTGTATAAGAAACTCCCAATAAAAAGGAGAAGTAACCATTTTTTAAACTAGGAACAAAAACATTAAAAACTCAATGTTGCTGGGAGCTGTTCGCCTTCCATCGGTAATCCTAACTCTTTAGGACGTGGAGCTATGGAGGATGGATCACGATTTGAGGCCAGTACATTCAGAAAAATCTTGGATCCATCTCTAAATAAGCATAAACAAAATGGTAAGCACATATATAACAGTTAAGAGGCTATCACACTTGGAGTGGCTGGGCCCACTGGGAAGAGTACTGTGGTAACAGGAATTACAGATCAATTGTGAGGTTTCCTACAATTGATGTGAGCATCAACGACTGCTTACTAGGAAGTGATGTGTTACACACCAAACTAAAAGCTCCACAGAGAGCACAGCTTAGGTCTCTTTTGCTTTCTCTGTGTATCAAATTTTAAACAAGTTCTCTCCTAGAAAGGTAACTTCAAACTCACGGCCACATCATGTAAAAGCACTGAGCAGAACTAGTGTGACAACAGGGAAGTGGCCTCACACACGAAGGGATGAATGGGAATTTGCCTTCTGGTGCGTACATCTTACTATAATGATACCTTTTGTGTGTCGCTCCCTGACCAGTCAATGAGCAAAGCTATTAAGCTGTAAACAAATTTCTTCAGAAACCTTACTATGAAAAGTCCATGAGGTTCTTTTTTTTTCTTTTGGTCAGTTGTGGGGCTTGAACTCGGGGGCCTGGGCCCAGGTCTTCAGCTCAAAGTGAACATTCTACCACTTGAGCCACAGTGCCACTTCCAGGTTTCTGGTGGTCAACTGGAGATGAGAATCTCACGAAACTTTCCTGCTCCAGCTGGCTTTGAACCACAATCCTCAGATCTCAACCTCTTAAGTAGCTATGATTACAGGCGTGAACCACCAGTGCCTAGCTCATGAGGTTCTTTTATCTCCAATTAACCACCAAAAAAAACAAAGTAAAGCTGTGGCTCAAATGGTAGAGTGAAAAAATCTAAGAGCCCACAACCAGGGCTTGAGTTCAAGTCCTAGATCGACACACATGGACACAAACATGTATGGATACATACACACAAACAATAAAAAAAAATATAAATATAAAAAAATTTCATGGGGCTGGGAAGGTGGTTCAGTGGTAGAGCACTTGCCTTGCATGCTCGAGGCCCTGGGTTCAATTCCTCAGCACCACATAAGCAAAAGAAAAAAGCCGGAAGTGGCACTGTGGCTTAAGTGGTAGAGGGACAGCGCCCAGGCCCAGAGATCAGGCCCCACGACCGGACCCAAAAAAAAAAAAATTCATAGCTGAAAAAGAGGAGAGGAAAAACTCTGGATTCGGGCAATTTAGGTACAAAACAGAACTAATGCTAGTGTCTTACTGCCACCTAGTGGTAGGGATTTTCAAATCAGGTGGAATTTTCCTATGAAGACAGTGGCTCATATCCTTGCATTGAATTATTATAGCAAGTCTGTGAGATAACTTATTACCCTTATAATTTAAGATGAGAAAATTTAAGCTTAGAGTGATTAGTAAATTGTTTATATAACAAGTAACAAGGATTTACAGAGTATTCTACTACACTGCCCTTGCCTCTTCAAAAAGTCACAAACGAAAATAGTGATAACCAAAAGATATTACAGCCTCAGAAAACCACCTTCTTGATTTTCTTTCCTTTCCTTCTTCTTCCATTTCCTCCCTCCCTTCCTCCCAGCTTTCTTGCTTTGTGACAAAACTGGAGCTTGACTGGAGTTACTGTCTTGCTTACTTGTTCACAGCTGATTCTCTACTACTTGAGCCACACTTCCAGCCTGGTTTTTTGAGTTATTTTGGAGATGAATTTTTGAGAACTTTTCTGCCCAGGCTGGCTTCAAATCAGATGTCTTGAGTAGCCAGGATTACAAGCATGAGCCCTTCCTATGTAACTGTGTCTAACTTCTTATTGGCATTGTAATATCTGCTTCCAAGCTTCCACTTTAATCTCTTATTAATTCCTACCCAAAAGTGGTCAGTCCAGCTAATTTTTAATCTTATGAACAACATTACAATGAAAACTCTCGTAGGAATCCTTTGGTGTATGTATATAGGTGTATCTATGAGAGGTAGCCAGAAGTACAGTTGCTTGATTAAAGGCTATGTGCATTAAAAAGATTTACAACTTCTGCCGAATCATTTTCCCTACGGGTTATTTTAATAATGCCACCAACAGCCCTGGGTGGTTTCTTCCCAACCTTCAACTCCTGTAATATGTGATAATGTCAACTTAAATTTTGTTAAGCCTTATAGATAGATAATAGATGATAACTGTTTTAATAATGGTGACAACTTTAAACTTTAATAGACTACTACTCACTGCTTGTCATTTAAGATGCTGATCTTGTTTATATTGTCTTACCACACAAAATTTTACACTGTTATATAGCAAAACTTTTCTTTTTATGGCTTCTTGGTTTTCTATCTTTTAAAAGGCATTGTTCATGCCCCAAATAGATAAAAAGTTTATTTTTTTTCAAATATATTTATAGGTTTAAAAAAATTTTTGAAGCCAGGTGCCAGTGGCTCATGCCTGTAATCCTAGCTACTCAGGAGGCTGAGAGCTAAGGATCACAGTTCAAAGCCAGCCCAGGCAGGAAAGTCCGTGAGACTCTTATCTCCAATAAACTACTCAGAAAACCGGAAGTGGAGCTGTGACTCAAGTAGTAGAGTGCTAGCCTTGAGCTGAAGAGCTGAAGGATAGTGCCCAGGCTCAGAGTCCAAGCCCCATGACCAATTTAAAAAAAAAAAAAAAAAAGAAAGTATAATGAAGGAATCCACTCAGCAATGTTAAGAACACAGTCGTTGGGCATGGTCGTGCACACCTCTAATTCTACTTACTCAGAGAGTAAGAGAACTACAATCTGAGGCCAGCCTTGGGCAAAAGCTTGAGAATCTATCTGAAAAACAAACTAATGCAAAAAGGGCTAGGCTTGTGGCTCAAGTGCTGGGACATTTGTCTATCAAGTACAAGGCCGAGTTTAAAAAAAAAAAGAAGAAACAGAAACAGTCAACATGTGGCATGTTTGAAACAATACAAATACACTTAAAGCAACTGTATATAAGATCTTATATTATCGTAATATAAGATAGGGGTTCCAAACAAATACAAGAGAAATGCTGGTGTGTTAAAAGATGGGAAAACTCTTTATGGGGCCTGAGACTTCAAATGTAGCTTTTGCTGAAAAGGGGGAAGAAGAAAAGAAACCAAATGGACTGGGGAGAAAAGGCTATATGGTAAGAATTAGACTGGTTCTAATAGAAAGTGAGATACACTCAGAAAAAATGTCAATGAGGGTGGACAGAAAACAAAAGAGATTTTTCCATCATCCAGGAAATGTCTGCAAGGATAAAACCTATACGCACTTGATTACTTTAACCAATTAATTCTTACTTTCCAGACTCTGTGCTCTTTTTTTTTTTTTTTTTTTTGGTCAGTTGTGGGGCCTGAACTCTGGGCTTGGGTGCTGTCCCTCAGCTCTTCAGCTCAAGGCTAGCGCTCTACCACTTGAGCCACAGTGCCACTTCTGGCTTTTTCTGCTTATGTGGTGCTGAGGAATTGAACCTAGGGACTCATGTTTGAGAGGCAAGCACTCTACTACTGAGCCACCTTCCCAGCCTCTGACTGAATCTTATACAAAAGGTAGTTCCAGGGCTAGGGCTGTGATTCAGTGGTGTGTTGCATAGCAAATGCACAAGGGCCTGGCTTCAGTTTCCAGCAAAACAAAACAAATGAAGATAATATTAAAGGCATACACACACATATAAACATAAATAAATATATAATCCTGATTAGAACTGAATGCCTTGCCCTAAACAGCTCTAGCTACCCTCTCCCCACATATCCTAGAAAGTCAGGGACTTCAGTCTCTTTGGAATGTAGTTAATGACCTAAAATTAGGAAAGTCACAACTCAGCAAACAGGCAGGGTAAACTGAGATGCGGCCCACCGGCTGCAGACATCCAGGCACTTACCTAGCAGTGCCTTCCTTGGTGTAGAACACCGAATAGGTGAGGTTGTCTCCATGGGGATCTGAAGCCGGTGTCCGCCATGTCAATTTGATGAAGCGGGTAGAGACCAGGGAGGCCACGACGTCCCGAGGAGCTGAAGGCAGTGGTCCCGTTGTGGCTGGTGCTAGATGGTCAGTAGTGGCACTGGTCAGTGAAGTGGGAGGTAATGTTGGGATGGCAACATCTTGTCATGTGCAAACATTGGGGAATATGAAGGGCAAACCACGACGGTTTTTAAAAAGAGAACAGAAAAACAAAAACAAAAAAAGAAATAAACAAAACCACGATGGGAAATAAAATAAAATGAATGAACATAAAAAAGGCCATTAAACTGAAGGCTAACATGCAGGCCAAGGGTAACTACCAGTGGGCACTATTAAGACACATCACTGCAGGACAAGCAGGCTTTCTGGTCACTGTAATGATTGTGGGTAAGGGACAGGGAGGTGACATCTCAGAGGACACAACAGTATCCAAGTGCTTTTCTTAATACTGAAAGGAGCATGCATCCCCGTGGTCCAGCTTTGCTGGTATGATCCTCATGGAAGACCTCAGTATTTCTTTCTTCTTTACCAAAATATGGAATGCATGGAATATGGACAATCAGCCTAGTAATACTGAACAGAGACCCTGAGGAAAGCTCTGGGTGGTCATTGCCTCCACAGCTGGGTGGTCCTGCCCTGTTGGAGATTTGAAAGCCACATGTTCTGCATTAGTTTAATATTAACTCTGCTGCAACAACACCCAAGGAAATGATAACTTCTTTCACTGTGTTAAATCAAACTTCACTTGCCGTCAGGTCAATTCATTTACATGTGACAGTATAAAACACTGAATTAAAAAACAGCAAATTGTCAGGCGCTGGTGGCTCATGCCTGTAATCCTAACTACTCAGGAAGCTGAGGTCCAAAGATAATGGTTCAAAGCCAGCCCAGGTGGGAAAGTCTGTGAGACTCTTATCTCCAATTATCACCAGAAAACCAGAAGTGGCAGGGTGGCTCAAATGGTAGAGTGCTTGCCTTGAGCTAAAGAGCTGAGGGACAGAGCCCAGGCCCAGAGGTCAAGCCTCATGAACAAAACAACAACAACCCCACAAAACAAAACACCAAATTGTAGTAGGTAGCTGAGGTCTGACTGTTGATTCTGGCTGTAATTTACATCCACATGGCTGGGAACCTGACATGGATGGGAGTAACGAAGCAGTGGTACTAGTTAGAAGCTTTAGCTAACACCTTCAGCTGTGATCACTTTGCCTCCTAAGGCAGCCTGTTTTCCTGTGCTGGTCTCAGTAGTGAACCTAAAACTTTCTTTATAGAGTCCGAGGGTACAAGTTTAATGTTTTCATTTTCTCTTTCAAGACAAGGTCTCATTATGGAGCTCAGACTGTCCTTAAAGTCACAATCTTCCAGCCTCCAACTCTAGAGTTATGGGTTTATAGGTGTGTACCACAACACCCAGTTAATTCCACAATTTTTAAATAAATGGGTTAACTGATTAGAATTGTGTCAAAGGGTCAGGACAGATGTACCTCAGTGGTACAGCAGTTGGGCTTGACCCTAAGCACTCAAAAATAGTTAATTTATTCTGGCTTCTGTCATCAGAATTCATTCTTGAAAGTAAAAGATCTGTTTGATTACATTCTCTTGCTCCAAAATGACCCACAGAGTAAAATTCAAAAACTTTAGCACCAAGTTCAAAGTCCTCCACAGATTGGCCCCACCTAACTTCATTATCTAGGAAACACTGCAGTATGGTGCAATGTGTACTAACGTGCTGCTCTCAATCTGCCTGGTTACGGAACAAGAATGGACTTTTCAGCCTCCTTGTTCACACTGCCCCTGTTTGTAGAGCAATAAAAGGACGGAAAGCTGGGACTGAGTTTATGGGTGTGGCTGGCACATGTGAGTTCCTGAGACAGAAGGTGGAGCCCCTGAGTTGTGTTAAGACACATTGCTTTTGGGTAAGGAGATCCAATGATACGAATTTCCCGCCTGCTCACACTAGCAAAGCCAAGTCTGAGTAGGTAAATTTAAGTTTCCTTTTTGAAACCCAAAATATGTATGTTCCTTGCAGTTTTTAAAATAGAGTTCATTTAGAGATTTCTTTCAAAATTTTTTCACTTCTTCAAAGTGAAGGGAAGAAGCATGAAGGTTTCTCTTCATATTCTGTGCAAAGGAATTCACTCAGGTGACACTTTCTAGAAATGTTCTTCGCAATTAGGTCAGACTGACACTATAAACACAGATGCACTGTGAACTGGGTAGTGCTCCCTAGAGCACTGCTTCTGAGAAATGTCAGGAGGGAGACTAGAAAAACGGAACAGGCAAACATGGGAGACAATGGAGACTTCCATGTGTGCTAAAGACCTCTAACAATGCTCTAGGAGAAATCCTAGAACTTCTCATTGCATCATGAAACCTCTTCTGCCCAACAGTCATCAGTCTGGTGAGCCTGGACTAAATGCTACTTAGGATATATAGCAGAGAGCAGAGTGAGAAAAGCGTCTGCGTGAAAACTAGCCCTGGCAGCTCAACTGCTACAGGCAGTACAATAAACTTGTTACAAAAACAACACATACAATACAGAAATACACAAAGCATAGGGATTAAGTGTCCTTTATTCATCATCTCCAAAATACTACTGCTGGTGGTATACAGTAACCACATCTCTGCTTTACAACGGCACTGTTAGTCTGAACCTGAATGTCTGCCAAAGGCCTACATGTTAAAGGCTTATCAGCAGCCAGCAGTACTATTAGGAGTTGGTGGAACCTTGAGATGAGACTTTGTGGAAGGAAGTAAGGGGTAGGTCCTTGCCGGGAGTATTGGGATCCTGCCATGATGTAATGCCATGCAGACAAAGGCCCAATGCAGCGCAGCCAATGGACCATAGCCTAAAACTGATGAAACCTGAACTAAAAATATTTCCTCAGACATTTGTCACAGCAAAATAGAACTGAAAGTTGACTAACACAGTTACATTTATATAGACACGTAAGTGTGGACGTGGAATGTCTAGGAGAGTCCCACATCAATACATTAAAAACTAATGACAATATTCCTATTGGTACAAAGTATTTCCTAGCATAGATACATCAAAGTTTACTTCAAAAGCTGTTTCCATTAAGTATTTTTTTTGCAACTTTCAGCAATGCTTTTGTGCACTTACCTTTGTGCACCTGTGTTAGTATTTCAGTAAAATAAATTCTTAGAAGTAGAAATGCTGAGCCAAAGGTCTGGGATTTGAAAGCATAAAAAGTGATGCCAATCTGACTGCAGAAAGGCCAATCTGACTGCAGTTTTAGAAGGGAGTATCAGTTATAGTTATAGACCTGCAACTTTATAAATACTCCCAAAGAACCAACAGAGAATGGATGAGACAGATTGTTATTTAATTAAATAAAAATGTATTAAGAAGCCTGGTAGATAGAAGAGCAATAAGAAACCTGAGTAATAGGAAACCTGTTCTATGGCCACAGAGAATGGTTCCAATCCCAGCCAGAGTCCCAGGAATGAGTACAGAATGGACAATGAGGCTGAAGACATCAAGAGCCATCCTATTGGTAAGCAAGGCACCAGTCTTTAAAAACTCAAATTGATCATTTCTCTATAGGAAGGAAGGAAGGAAAGGAGGGAGGGAGGCAGGCAGGCAGTCTTGGTAATCAAAAACACTTGGGAGCTGGGAAGGTAGCTGAGTGGTAGAGTGCTTGCCTTGCATGCATGAGGCCCTGGGTTCGATTCCCCAGCACCACATAAGCAGAAAAAGCCAGAAGTGGTGCTGTGGCTCAAGTGGTAGAGCACTAGCCTTGAGCTGAAGAGCTCAGGGACAGTGCCCAGGCCCAGAGCTCAAACCCCACCACCGAAGGAAAAAAAAAAGGCAATAAACAATTTGAGAGCCGGGCACCAGTGGCTCACACCTGTAATCCTAGCTACTCAGGAGGCTGAGATCTGAGGATCTCAGTTCAAAGCCAGCCCGGGCAGGAAAGTCCGTGAGACTCTTATCTCCAATAAAAACCACCAGAAAACCGGAAGTGGCGCAGTGGCTCAAGCCATAGAGCCCAGAGTTCAAGCCCCATGACCGACCAAAAAAAAAACAAAAACAAAACTTGGGAAACAGAAAAACAACTAGAGTCCAATAAACAGCTGTTCTGTGAGATTAAAGATATTTAAACGAAGCACTTACAGTCAATGGGGGAAACAATGCATTAGGCTATTAATCAGACTTTATTAAAAACAAAGGCTCTAGCAGAAAGAGAAAAGCTCCATATTATCTGCTCTAGAGAGCAATTTGTCATGTAAAGGAGCCACTGAAAAACGTGTGGCAGTTACAATGAGCTCAGGCCGCACTGTTGTCCCAGTGGTGTCTCTCCATACACTTAGTCGTATTTCATGGAAGCTCGTAAGTGAAAGCACAAGAAAAGAGATTTCTTCCCCCTCTTTCCTTCCCAAACTAATGAAATCTGTCAGTATTTCTAAATTTAAAATATGACACTGAAGAAAACTAAAGCAGAGCAATAATGTTACACAATGGTGATGATTTAGAATTAGCATCTTCTCACGCTATCATAATTCAATTTATAAACATCTGCTTTCAGGAGACTCACATAAAGAAATAGCTATGGCCCCAATGCTTATGATCCATCCCATTCTGCTGGATGCCTCACAAAGACTGTCACAGAACTAAGTATGGAAATCTTGAGTAAATTCCATGGATTCAAAGAGGAAGTGAGAAAAAAAGGAAACAGAGGTGGAGGACCAGGAGCACGACTTGAGTGGTATCACGGGGATTTGCCTCGCTAAGCTGGTGATTCTGAGCTCAAACCAGTACCACACAAAACAAAACACTAAAACAACTTTTAAAAAACATAAGGTTCTACCAAACAGTAGAAATGGAATGCTCGGCATGGAACAATACCCCTCACATTGGAAAATGGTAAGGATTACCGTAAAGACAAAAATTGTACAGGAAGAATTTGATTCTCAGATTCTGATTGACAGAATAAGTAGTCTTACTAAAATCTCAGGGATTCCATATTTAACCAAGCATTTATCGGAACTGGTACAAATGTCTTTGCTATGTATTATTTAAAAGAAAGGCCTATCAAGCCAGGCACTGTTTACACCAGTAAACCTAGCCACTCAGGAGGCTGAGATATGAGAATCATGGGTTAAAGCCTGTGTAGGC